TCTTCTTTTAAAGAACCCAAAGAGCTAGAGCTAAGATATTTAGCATGAAACATCTTCTAATGAGTGTCTACCAAGTTTGTTCAAATAAAAGCCCTGGTGTCAAAATTGGCCCCGCCCCAGGGGGTCATTGATTTTCCCTATATGCATATAGTAAAAACTTAAAAAATCTTCTTTTAAAGAACTCAAAGAGCTAGAGCTAAGATATTTTAGCATGAAACATGTTCTAATGGGTGGTCTACCAAGTTTGTTCAAATAAAAGCCCTGGGGTCAAAACTGCCCCGCCCCGGGGGTCATTGATTTTCCTTATATGTGTATAGCAAAAACTTAAAAATCTATTTTGAAAAAACCCAAATAGCTTGAGTTTAGATATTATACATGAAACATCTTTAAGTAAATATCTACAAAGTTTGTTCAAAATAAAAGCCCGGGGGTCAAAACTGGCCCTGCCCCAGGGGTGTCATTGTTTTTAACTATGTGTATAGTAAAAACTTAAAAAATCTTCTTTTAAAAAACCCAATGAGCTAGAACTTAGATGTTTAGCATGAAACATCTTTCTTATGGGTGTCTACCAAGTCTGTTCAAAATAAAAGCCCTTGGGTAAAAATTGGCCCGGGGGGGGGGGGGGGTGGGGGGTGGGGGAGGGGGGCTATATACAGGTGAGCGACCTCAGGGCCATAATGGTCCTCTTGTTCTATTTTTAGTAACGGTGACCTTTTGACCTTGACCCAGGGGGTCCAAATGCAATACCAACCGGAAGTTTTCCACATAAGGTTGCTATATACCAAGTTTGATTACAATACCTCATTCCAAACTCTAGTTATCGTCCGAAATTCATGATGTGGACCGACGACCGACCGACCGACAAGCTGACTCCTATATACCCCCCCTAAACTTTGTTTGTGGGGGTATATATTGTCCAGAAAACCATTTTTTCTATTTTAGTAACGGTGACCTTGACTTTGACCCCAGGGGGTCCAAAAACAATACCACCCAGGTCTTCATATAAGCTTGCTATACACCAAGTTTGATTACAATATCTCATTCCTAACTCAAGTTATTGTCCGGAAACCATTTTTTCTATTTTTAGTAACGGTGACCTTGACCCCAGGGTGTCCAAATGCAAATACCAACCCAGGTCTTCATATAAGCTTGCTATACACAAAGTTTGATAACAATATCTCATTCCTAACTCTAGTTATTGTCCGGAAACCATTTTTCTATTTTTAGTAACGGTGACCTTGACCCCAGGGGGTCCAAATACAATACCAACCCAGGTCTTCATATAAGCTTGCTATACACCAAGTTTGATTACAATATCTCATTCCTAACTCAAGTTATTGTCCGGAAACCATTTTTCTATTTTTAGTAACCATGACCTTTACCTTGACCCCAGGGGGCCTAAATGCAATACCAACCCAGGTCTTCATATAAGCTTGCTATACACAAAGTTTGATAACAATATCTCATTCCTAACTCTAGTTATTGTCCGGAAACCATTTTTCTATTTTTAGTAACGGTGACCTTGACCTTGACCCCAGGGGGTCCAAATGCAATACCAACCGGAGTTTCCACATAAGGTTGCTATAAACCAAGTTTGATTACAATACCTCATTCCAAACTCTAGTTATCGTCCGGAAACCATGATGTGGACCGACCGACGGACCGACCGACCGACAAGCTGACTCCTATATACCCCCCCTAAACTTCGTTTGTGGGGGTATAACGACCGACAAGCTGACTCCTATATACCCCCCCTAAACTTCGTTTGTGGGGGTATAATTATGATTTCAGATGGTTCAAAACTTGTGCTAAAATCCTGGAGAAAAGGTACTTATTAATGTTGTAGAGGGGAGATATTAACCAGGTCAAGGTCAAGGATTTCATGATATTTATGGACAGTCAGTAAATTTATGGACCATCTTCAATTTTATAGATTTTTTTATCTGTCAATTTATAGACATTAAATACGAAAATAGTATAAGTTGACAACTTAAAGTTGTATTAAAATTCAAAACCGAAGGTTAAAAAGAATAAGATTACTGATTATATGATTAAATGTAACAGTATGGTAAGATTCAGAACAATTTGATGACTTTCAATTTTTACTTATAACAAAAATTTCAAAGTCATCATACAAAGATAAAAATTATGTCATTACCTAACCATTAACCAATCATTATAATAACTTGTTTTAAGCCGAGAATTTTAGTATAAAACTAAAAACAGCAAATTTAACATTACATATCTGTAAATTTATGGACTGAAAAATCTTTAAATTTCTAGACTATCCATAAATTTATGGAAAATGCATAAAAATCATGAAAAACCTAGACCTGTTGACCATATACACAAAATATCACAATATCTCATCGCATACTAGTACAATTAGTTAAACTAAGGTTGTTCGAATGGTATATAGTCCACATATAGGATAAGTTATAATAATCTGTAGTTGCTGTGAATAACCTATAACACAGGGATGTCTATGGCGCGATGTTCGAGAGGGGGGCGTCTTTGATTAGTATTTTGTATTCCGTTTCATTCGGCACAAGCCAAGGAAGGTGTTATCAGTAATAAAAAAGCCCCAGTAATAAATTGACTGCAATAAGTAAAATATTTCACGCACATTGATGATATGTTTAAGACCCATGTCTTTCACAACTATAAAAATGCAGTTTTGAATATTTTAATAAATAGTTAAACCTAACTCTATCCGAATATATGGTTTCTTTTAAATAAATAAGCTTTTATTTCCATTATTAACGAGTCTCTGGAAAGATAACTGCTAAGAATATTCGGTTAAACTATTTATACTTCTCTTTACACAATGTTGTTAAAGTCTGAGTATAAATTGGAGCTATTTGCGAGTAACAGAAAAATACACACGTGCACTGATAGTGTTGACATCGGTGTATCAGTAACTTTGACAGATAGTGATTGACCTTTTCGAAAACATAGCTAAACACCGTTTTCCGGTACGTTACCGTTTTAGCTCTGGGGAATTACACCAACTGAAGTACATAACACATTTACGAGATATTTCTATTTTTCTATCATTATTTAACCGTTTAAGGTGAAAAAAAAAGATGTTTTTGAAAATTATAAATATTCATCTAATATCTATTGCAAATTATTAAAAAAAAAAAAATTATTTATAATGAAAATCAATAAAATTCAAACAGACGTAGTGGAATCTTCCATAATAAATAAGGTTATTTTCTGCGTTAACTTGTGTATTTATTTTATTTTTTGTATGGAATCATATATACAATGATATTTAATTACTTTCTTATAAAGAAATAACTGTTTTATTTCAATTTAATTTAAAAAAATGCCGAAAACATTGAGTTCGCTATTACACTCCATTAGGTAAATTCCCCAGAGCTATGTACAGAAAGTACCGGAAAACGGCGTTTAGCTAGGTTTTCGAATTCGTGAATTTTTACGATTACAAAGTATAACGGTTCGCATCTTAGCGAATAAATTTAGAATTTGTCAAGAAAAAATATTCAATTTCTACAACTTTGGAATGAGATCGGAGTAGTATATACCTTTCATTTCGCTAAGTTATATTAAATAAATCATAAGACATGGAAACTTTATTGATGAACGTAAAGATTAGCTGACAGGAATAGATTATTTTTGTTGTCTTGGAAGTCACCCCACCCACAACTAAGAATGGTTCACAAGTACCAATCCCCTGTGAGGGTTTACAAACACCCCTTTGAAATCGTTATGGCGGTAGGTGTCTATTTTTTTTATTTCTGAACTATATCTTATATGAAAGTAGGCAAAGCCTATGAACGGGGGAGGGGGGGGGGTCGGATAAGAAAAATCTTTTATTTATGGCAGTGGCTAGCCCTACTGTCCCATATTGCTACTGTTAGTGTATTTGAGTCGCATACAACTAGCATAATTATATGCACTGTTGAGGCTAGCCATTTAACATTTTAAAATAATAACCTAAAACAATTATAATAAATATATGCAAACTTGTGTTTCTATATTCTTCACGGAGATTTATAATTATTAATAATTAAATAATTTCTTTGGACCTGGGATTTTTTCTAGGATTTTAGGAACATGACCCATACCCATGCAATTGGGAATTTCAGCGATGTTTTGTTAAAAAATTGGGAAAAAATACATGACTTAAAACTTGCAGTACTTAATTAAATGAATGCAAACAATCACTATCTAGGATGGCATCTTCAAACATTTAAGCACTATTACAGTGAAGAATCCCTTATTTTTAAAGATTTTAGAATGTGTTACTCAATATTTTTATTTTGTAACTTTCAATTGGGAAAATAATATACTATTTTCAATTGGGAATATGACCCAATAACGACTATAAAATAACCCCCAAAAAATCACTGATGGACAATATAGATCTATATTTATAATTATGGAACACAAACAATTTGTAATAAAACTTTTATCTTGATCACTTTTAATAACGAGCATTGTAAATTTATTTTAATGATGAAGCTAAGCAGCGGGTTTTCACAATTGCATATTAAGCACACTATCGGGTCAATCACAGACTTACATACATGTATAAAAGTTTTATTGACTGGACATTCAAGTAAGTTGGTCAATTTCCAGCGGTAGTGAGAGTACATGTATAACAAAATATTTTTAATAATTATAACTTGTTAGTAACACAAAATTAAATTGAAAATTTACATTGGCTTACAAAAACTACTTTTAATTAAAGATGAATTTGTTTCTGATAGATCTATAACTGTAAACTGATATCTTGTCATAATATAAATGGCTGTCAGAATATCATCCATAAAAATATTTAGAAAAAATATATTATTCCTATATTATCATTCTTTAAATCTTTGTAAAAATGTAATTTTAGACTGGCTAGTTACTGACATCATCATTGCATTTATTTGTTAATGAAAAAATGCTGTTTGGCTATCTGCAGCAGTGCGTATACATGGTAAAGGCTAGACGTATGTGACTCATGTACACTAGAACTTTTAGCTGGCAGTATGGGGCCAGTATGTTCTGTTTTCAATAGGAACACCTCCATGATTATTCTTATGAGAAAAGTTGCGAGTTACTTTGAGTTACATTAAAAATGGTGGCGACCAGCTAGTAGAAATAACACTGAAAATTTTAAGTTCTAGAAATATACATGCTTTTAATTGCTTTTTTTTCAAATATTTATTTTAAATATACACATGAAGTTTATGGCACGAAAAGCCAAAGCTTGGACCCACATTGCCTTTGACTTCACTATATATCAGAAGTTTTCAGGAAGATTCTTTGCAAGTATGACACATTATTTTGTTGCACACCCAATTTTAAACAAAATATGAAAGGCAGTATCGCCTGGTGCCCTAAATCCGTCCTTGTCCTACTGCTTCTAGGTCAACACAGTTTCTTACTCATGAAATGTTTGTTAAGAAAAAAAACAATCTGATATTTTTAAACATCAAAGTGAATTTAATGTATCTGCCAAATTTCTTTAACATAGAATGCTTGGATCATAAAAAAAACACAGTGTATCAAACTAGCACTATAAAATGCTATGGGTAACATATCATGGCCACTCATGGAATGATGGATAGGTAGATGTAAACTATTGGCTTTTGAGAATTCTTCTTGCCAATGGACAAGTTGAAAAAAGAGCTCAAACGAACATCAGACCCACTTTTGGGCATATTTGACTCAATTGTGATATTGTCAACAATAAATGTGGGTGTTCAGTCTAACTGTTTGAATAGAATGGTAACATAAGTTAAATTGTCCAATAATCAAGTAGTAAAATTGTAACCTAATAAGTTAACAACGCAAAATTTGTTGACAAACTATCCAGTGTTAACTGATTCTGCAATAAGAACAAAGGCATGCCAAATGAAGTAATAATAATAAAAATAATGTCACAATTGTTGATTGAACCATAGCCTTTGTAACAGTATGCTCAATCTTAAATTTCCTATTACCATGTCACCGGGGAGACGTCTCAAAATTGCCAAAAATAACTATTTTGCATTGTTTTTTCCATCAAAGCTGATTTCAAAGTGCTGTAACTTCTCAAAAGATTGAGATAGAGTAAAAGGCTTTTCAGGGTTGGTTACATGTTACCTTAATATCGGCCTGAGGTCGTTTTTAGCCTGTCACATGTATGTCAAAAATTTTCTTGGCGATGAGAGGGGGGCTACCGCCCCCCCCCCTTTAAAACCCCCAAACAGAAGTGGGCACATCCCCCTCTGGCACCCCAATGATGTACCTTTTTGATAGGATGTTTAGCTGAAAAAGTGATCAATTTTTTGAACAACATTTTTCGAATGAAAAACAGTGTTTGGGGCCTAAATTGGGCATTTTTTGCACTATTTGGGGCTTCAAAAGGGGAGGGGATTGAAAGAAGTTTTGTTTATTTATGATAGTACATGTACATTCAAGTATCATGCTTGTTGTGAAAGAAAATTTAGCTTTGATAGTCATCTATAGGAAGTATATCATCATGTACTCTCACTAAAATACATCATAAACCTCTGGCCTGCTGACGACAGCTTAATAAATCCGTGCCTTTGCTATTCTTGTGAGTCAGTACATTTACATATGTTTATATATACTCTGTATTTTGATTTGTATTTTGATAAGTCCACTTATAGATATATTAAGGATGTTAAGGGTTGTATACCGTGGATTTTCAATATGATTTATCATGATGAGCTTGTGTTATCTTTAAAATTATTGATGTTGTTAAAGGTTATAAAGTAATACAATTCAATAAAAAGAGGATTTTTCTGTTGTATAATCCAAATTATGATTGTACTAAAATTGTTTAAACACAGAAATGTTGATAAATTTTACAGTGAATAAACTTAAAGTAAAAAAATTGTACACTTAAGAACAGTATACCGGTAATTATGAAACTAAACAACAGGAAAATAATATAAGGTTTTTGATTGTAGTTAAAAGTGAGGATATTTCATGGGGTCACTGAGAGCAAACTAACATATACATGTATATATTAAATCATTGAACTTAAAGAATGCATTATGGGGGCACTTGATACATCTGAAATAGTATAATCATATATTAATAGGGTAAAACTTGGAAGTAGAAGAGGCTTTCACAACACTCATTCATGTTAAGATATTTTCTTATATTGGTTCATCAAATAATGCTATCTTTTGTTCTGTTTAAAAAAGAAAACCTTACATTCTTGCCAGACCTATCATTAATTTGGAGTGGATAATAGTTACAGACAATTTTATGGCCTCATCAAAGGCTAACAAATTATGATTATTTTCATGTTTTATACTAATTCCATTAATTTGTACAAAAGAGGTTCAATCATTGAACTGTCTCTATCATTTTTTTGCAATTATTTTGTTTTATTAGTTTTATTTTATTAGTTTGTCTAGTAGAAGAATGGGGGAGTACTATTTAGTAGATAATCTCACACTATTTTTTGTTGTTGTTGTAACATTTTGAATAAGTATTTGCATGTGTCTGAAGTGTAATATTTTAAGAGTCTTCCAGGCAGAGATAAAAATTACCAGAAGGTGTTGCAAAATTTTCTTTAGTTTTTGAGTAATTTTTGCAAAGGAAAAAAACAAACTTTTTATAAACAAATCTCAGAAGGTTCCATATAAGATTCAAGGTTCAAGATTTTATTTCAAAAGGCATAAACATTTTACAATTTCCGTCGCCATAAAACTGAATGACGGTTACAAATAATATATGAGAAAAGTATGTAACTGTTTATAAATAATTTTTACATTAACATTTTTATATTTAAAGAACACATGAACTAGAAAAAACCCAGGTGAGGAGGTGTCATAATTAATGATCTTAGAAAATTCCTGCTTAGTGTTTTACATGCAATCTTTAGTTTTATTTCATTAACAGGCATATAAGAGAGATATTTCTAGTAGAAATTTTCATTGACATCTGTCAAGAATTTTAGTAATACTAGTATTAATTTACTTTCAGGCATATGAAAAGAGGTTTCCGACATGTAAAATGATCCCAGTATTTCTGGGTAGTGATATTATAGAAGAATATAAGAGTGAAGATGGTGCTATACATGATGTAGAGAGACGATGTAGGTTAAATGTTGATGCTCCCTATCTGTTGAAGAAGGTATGTCACACTTCAAATTATTCTCAGCCATTTATTACTAAAACTAACTTGTAAAACTAATTTTCAGTTAATTTCAATGTCTGCAATGGTAGAACCCTTTTTATGCCCCCACAATGTGGGAGCATATAGCGTTGCACTTGACCATCCGTCCGTACGTCTGTCCGTCCGTCCGTACGTCCCAAAATCTTGTGAACGCAACTCCTCTTAAACCGGATGGCAGATTTTGCTTAAACTTACAGGGATGAACAACCTTAATGTGTAGATGGTAGTAAAGGAAGGAATTTTCGCTGCAACCAAATTTAACAGAATTATGGCCCTTTGTTGATTTTTTCACTATATACTATGTAGAAATTTTGTGAACGCAACTCCTCTTAAACCGGATGACAGATTTTGCTTAAACTTCTAGGCATTAACAACCTTAATGTGTAGATGGTAGTAAAGGAAGAAATTTTTGCTGCGACCAAATTTAACAGAATTATGGCCCTTTGTTGATTTTTTCACTATATACTATGTAGAAATTTTGTGAACGCAACTCCTCTTCAACCGGATGGCAGATTTTGCTTAAACTTCTAGGCATTAACAACCTTAATGTGTAGATGGTAGTAAAGGAAGAAATTTTCGCTCCACAATGTGGGAGCATATAGCGTTGCACTTGTCCATCCGTCCGTCCGTCCCAAAATCTTGTGAACGCAACTCCTCTTAAACCGGATGGCAGATTTTGCTTAAACTTACAGGGATGAACAACCTTAATGTGTAGATGGCAGTAAAGGAAGGAATTTTCGCTGCAACCAAATTTAACAGAATTATGGCCCTTTGTTGATTTTTTCACTATATACTATGTAGAAATTTTGTGAACACAACTCCTCTTAAACCGGATGACAGATTTTGCTTAAACTTCTAGGCATTAACAACCTTAATGTGTAGATGGTAGTAAAGGAAGGAATTTTTGCTGCAACCAAATTTAACAGAATTATGGCCCTTTGTTGAATTTTTCACTATATACTATGTAGAAATTTTGTGAACGCAACTCCTCTTTAACCGGATGGCAGATTTTGCGTAAACTTCAAGGGATTAACAACCTTAATGTGTAGATGGTAGTAAAGGAAGAAATTTTCGCTGCGACCAAATTTTACAGAATTATGGCCCTTGGTTGATTTTTTCACTAAATACTATGTAGAAATTTTGTGAACGCAACTCCTCTTAAAAACGGATGGCAGATTTTGCTTAAACTTCCAGGGATTAACAACCTTAATGTGTAGATGGTAGTAAAGGAAGGAATTTTTGCTGCGACCAAATATAAGAGAATTATGGCCCTTTGTTTGATTTTAGTTTTCAACTTGTTGCACATGTAGTCCAAAAAATATTTGACCCTAGAGTCATAAGATTGACAGAACAGTAGCGTGTGGGGGCATCCGTGTCCTATGGACACATTTCTAGTTTTAAGGTAAGCTTCCCCAAAAAATGACACTTTCATTTAATGCAAAACATTGTTTCCCAAAAATCAAACTACATTATAACAGTTTTGACCCTTTTTCAATTGAAAATTTCCTGTTTATACTAAATTTTTTGTCACACAATTTCACAAGATCATTTATGATATTTACTTTAAATGAAAGACTGGTTCGTCATCAGAATTTGACTAATTTTGAAAGAAAAGTTGAACCAAAAATTCACAGTTATGTCCAGTTCCTGACTTAAATATGTCAAGTAATTTCCCTTGATGAGGAAGGCTGGATTACAATTTTGTTGTACATACTTTACACTTACTTGCAGTTTGATATTTTATATGAAAATGGATGTTGCACTTATACATTATCCCTCATGTACAGACTCAGTCAAAACCGAGTCTGCAATTCTTATTTATTTTGTTGTGATTAATGCTTCCGGGGATCACTTTGTTTCCAGAATTTTGTACTTCACTTCAGTGTTGTTATATTTTCTGGTCCTTCGGGATCATTGATGCCAACACTATAAAGTGTTGAGAATCGAGTACTGCTCAAGCCGGTGCTAGGGGGCATGAGGGATGTTGCACTTATACATTATCCCTCATGTACAGACTTAATCAAACCTGGTCTGCAATTCTTATGTTATTTTGTTGTGATTAATGCTTCCGGGGGATCACTTTGTTTCCAGAATTTTGAATAAAAGTTTCTTAAATTTCAACCATGTTAAATCCTCTATAATTTACCTTCCCTATCTAGATTTATGTAACTTTAAAAGATAAAGATATACATGTTATGTTGGAATATTGCCTTGATGATTTATTTCTCAACAAGATTTATTAAAAGAAAACTTAGTATACATACATTTAATGTTTTTCAACCTTTGTTGATACTTTATATGAAATGTTGCAATTGAATGATCACAATTACTAATAAGGTCAGATTTGTTTGATATTGTATTGACACAATTATTAATAGTATTTAGTTTTACATTATATAATAGTTTTAAGTAGAGGTAATTAGTTATCCTAGCTTATGTTTCTTAACGTCTGAACTGCAGAAATTATAGCATGCACAACTAATCTATAGTAATAACACTAAAATTAGTATACAGCTGTGTTCTCTACAGTTGTAGTTTATTTTTATCATGATAAAAAGAAAGAACAGTAACTTGAGACTGAAATGTCAGATTAATATCAAGGAAACATTTGAATGGTAAACTAAAAAAATTCTTGGCCTGTCTCTGATCAAAGCTAATTCTTCCTTTTATTGTAAAGATTACAAATGTTAAAGGCTGTACTGTTATAATTCATTGAATATGTGCAAGTAACAGCTGTGTTGCGCGGAAATCTAAATGTGTCGGCAAAAAATGATATTGTAGTATAATTCTACATTTTCTGGCCATTATTTGTGGTGTCAGGTAAACTATTATGTACAAATGTATATAATTATATCAAAATATTTATCATAAGTTATGATACATTGCTATAATTTAGGGTTTTTTACCTGAACCTTATAGAGACATAAACTCTGGCAAGATTTACCCTTTTCTTAGAAATAGGAGTTTTCTTATAAAAGTCATTTTGTGACTGAAAGCAGTCAACATTAAAGTATATTATGATTTGATGTTTGTTCCTTTTACAACAATCTAAAATTATTCACGATACAGTTTATACTTAAATACCTTCAGAGTAATTTTTTTTCTTCTATAAAAAGTATAAGGAGAACTGTCCCAATCGCATTATTGTATGCTGAAGAACCACTTCCATATCTAAAATAAAATCAAAGGTTTTTGAACTGTAACATACATGTACTAGATTTATGTATGTGACATAGGATGAGTCAGTAACATGCGGCTTACCTGGGACTCAAACTTGGAATACTGTCGTGTTTCTACAAACTGATCTGTCTGGCCACTTACACATTTTCTCTCCTAATAATTGAACAATTATTATACAGTGACACATATAACAATATTTGTACAATCATGTAGTTTCTATATTATCAAAGTAAATCCCCCTTTTTTACAATGAGATCATGATGTGTGGTAATATTTTCATTTTCATTAACCTCATCCTCTTGAATTTCTAACTTGTCTAGGCCTGGAGGTTATACACATTATAGCTTAGGTTTTTCTTAGGTTGTAGGTTTCTGACCAATCCAAATACTTGAGATTTGAGTTTGAGCTTAGAAAAAATCTTTATAACTGTGGCCAGACACTTATTTTGAACATTGAAAACTGATTCCATTTTGGTACTGTTCATTATTAATTTTAGGAATTTCCAGATGAAATTTAAATTCAATATAGAGCGTCAGGTCATACTATACAGCAGAATAATAGGGGTAGCTATATGGTTATAATAATTGTAAATTGAAATACATGTATCCCAGGATTTTTTATTTAACATTTTTCCCTAGATTCATATGAATTATAATTATATGTTCAACAGTTTTAACCTTTTTTCTTGTAATTATAAATCGTGTATGATAAACTAATCTATTGTGATCTATTTTTAGGCACCACTGTTTTGAACATGTACATGTAGTTATGTTTTAAGGTGTTATTTACAAATATTATGATAAAATCATTATGTAAATGTAAACTTGATACATAATAGTGTATAAATATTCAAATGTTTGATACATACTTTGTATAAGAATGACTGTTCATGCAGTATTATTAATAGACCTTAATCATCATGAAGAAAATATTTAAAATTTAAATATTTAAAATATTTTGGAAGCTGATTTTAGGGGAGGGGGACTGACATTTTAATCCTGAGATGGATTCCTGTCTGGCTTAAATTAGAGGTGGCTATTTCATGTTGTGCAAAATTAATGATTATATATATTGTTTTTTATTTTGCATTTAAATATAATACCAAAATCATAACTAGTGGGTAGATAAATGCTTTAGGGACTGTTGTGATGATGTGGGTGGGGTTTTGTTTTGATTCATATTGTAACAGTTGCACTATATCTATTCTTGATGATAGTTAAAGCCAAAATATTCAAATTAAACAACTATCAATTAAGTCTACATGTTGTCAGCTTAGTGCACTAACATGTTAACTCCTATTGAATGATATAAAGGAGTAAACTAAGGTGACAAATTTTAGGTCATGTCAGCCCAAATTGACTATAAAATTGGACAGAAGATTAATATGTTAACGTTATTGTGAATATTATTCGATCAATAGTAAGTTGTGATAATGAAAGAGGAAACCAGTATGTGTTATGATACTGATGTGTCATTTGCTTGTCTAAATGTTGCCTAATGTTTTACCCAGTATTATTTGATATATGTTATTGAATAAACCCTAAACTTGCTGAATTTGTTAAATAGACTTGTACAGCGTCCATTTTGGAATTGTACATTAACAAGTTTGGGGATATCAGAAAGAAAAGTCAGCCAACAGTACATGTTTATTATAACTCTGGTTGGACTGTACTCTAGCATTGCTCTAATTTCTACCAAAGGATAATCACTTTAGGCTTGAGAAGGGTAAATGTTACATTGTGTTACTTCCTTTTGTCCGTCATATATGTCATATCCCCAGCCAGGGGAACAAATCTTCCCCCTCGTTTATTATTTTATGACAATAGACTTGCTCCAGAATTAAGAATATTTTGGGTTTTCCCAGCAAATACGGGGATACAAACTTTTACAGATACAGCTTCGAAAATAAGGGCAACAGGTTGTCTAATCTGTTGTGACCGGTTGTGCACTGTGAAGTTATAATGGTAAAAGTTTGTTTGTACCGGGGGATAAGCCTGGAAAAACCCACATTTGGCAAGTTCCGGATAACATCTTTTTATAATTTATATTTACAGATTGTTGGTGTTGATCATGTGATATTCATACAAAAGAATTGTCTCGATAGACGAAACAGAACACTTAAAATATATGCACGGAATGAAAGCTTCTCATCTCGTATTGTTATCAACGAAACTTGTACATATTCTGTAAGTAATAATGTATTTATGTTTTACTTAATACCTTGAGGGCAATCTATGTTGTTTCATTAAACTTTCTGAACAGACTCTGTACAGTGTAAATGTATTTAATATCTTGTTCACCAAATATTTTTCCAGTCTTAATTATATTTGAATTGGATTCAACACAGTGATGTCCTTTTCATGAACAGTTTATTGTATACAGTCCAACTGATTTAGAGGATGTTGGTAAAAAATTGAACCTTGTCTGGCATGTGTTAATCTCAGCCATGAATTATTCCAGTGAAGAAAATGTTAACTATTAACCTACTCATGATATAATGAACTTTCCCTGTGCAAGCATTGATGGACTTGACCTGTTTTTATTTTGGAACAGTCCATTATTGAAGGAATGTCAATATTAATGTATTCAAATTGAAAATGAACCAGTCATTGCCGAAATCATACTTAAATTTTTTTTAAAAATATGGGAAAACTAATTTTCTTTAAATTTTGATTCGAGTTTACAATTAGTATTTTACATAGATAATCAGCATCCTTTAGTTAGATATATACATGTACATGTATTAAGTAGACATCAGAAGAAATATTGTCATGTTTATTATAGATGGGCATTTTTCTAAAAAAAAAAATTAAGATTGAATTTTTGGTTACCAGATCAAGCAACCTTTCCAATATGTTAGGAAGATACATTTGATTGTTAGAACCTTAGACTGATTTCACTATACTTTGTTCTACATGTATATCAGATAGTTACATAATGAATTGGTATCCCATTATGCATAGGAATTAACCTTCATGGAAAGGTGTATCAGTTTGGTTTTGTTGGTCTATTTAGATATCCAGAATGTAATTGGTTTTTCAACACTTTCTTGATGGTCTTTTAAAATGAATAGGATTTAAAATGAAGGGGTCTCCGTGGCCGAGTGGTTAAGGTAATTGACTTCAAACCACTGGCCTCTCATCCCTGTAGGTTCGAGCCACGCAAGCATCCTCAGATAGCTTACCTAACGTCAGTGCCTGTTTATGCCTGCAATGATATACAGAGGGTACGGCTGTAAACCTAAGAGTTACCGTATGACATAACCTTTGTTGGTGTGAGATACAGCCAAAAAAAATCGAAAAGAAATCAAAATACAAGGGTATTAAAGAAATGCCATTGTACCATTGGTAAATGTATGTATATTTTCAGGTGCATGAGGAGAATCCAGACTGGACGTGTTTTGAGCAGGAGGCTAGTCTAGATATTAAGTCTTTCTTTGGGTTTGAGAATACAGTGGAGAAGATTGCTATGAAGCAATACACACATAACATCAAAAAGGTAGAATACAAGATTATGTTTGTTAAAGCTGCATGCCTCCAGATGAGCTAAAATATTTCAAGAAATTCAATCTTTAGAAAAATATATTAAAATCTTAAGAAAAGTGAAAAGATTCAATATTTAATTAATTATCTAAATGCTATGTGTGATTAGTGACTGATTTTGCAGTATCAATTACTATAATCATACTGCTTTACTAATGCAGTAAGAGGTATTTTATGTATATTTTGACGTCTTTATGGTAATTTACGTGGATTGTAAGTGCCGTTTGCAATGTGTAAATTACTTTGTTTGTTCACTTCACAATATTTTACTTTTAAAAACATTTTCAAAATTTTCATGAAAATTACATGTAGCATGAATCTGGAGGCATGCTGCTAAGTTTTATAAGATACCTGTATTATTTTAAAGGGATATTCAGGCAAAATAATGACAAAAATATTAAAATGATCTCATGTACTCAAATCACACTAAAATGACTTTTCTTGAAGTTTCAGCATGAATTTCTGTTTAAATGCTATATATTTTGAGTTTGAAGCGTAAATATATCTACATATGTTGAACAAATTTAGACGAATTTAAAATAATATCACCAAATAGTTTTTAAACAAGTCAGGTGACTTGAACAAACCCTTGAAGTTACAATAACAGATATTGTGGATATTGTATGATTGAAACAAGCCTAAGTCATTCATTCGACATGTTCTTTAACGTTTCCATAGTTCACTTTGACAACTACAGTCGAGACTGCCTAAGCGACCCCCTGATTTAAACGACTCCCTGTCTTATCCGACCTTGTTTCAGTACTCCCAACGTATTTTCCTATATAAATGGTCTGAATTAAACGACTCCCTGTCATATGTGACAAGCGACCCTAATTGTCTGGTCCCAATGCAATGTTTTGTCTGATTTAAACGACTTTCACACCTTTTAATTGTCCGTTAATCAGATAAAGAATACCTATTATAACACCCAGAGGGCCAAAATAATTAAGTCCAATTATAATCCAGCACTGTAGCAAACAAAGTCTACACACCTCTATCTCAATTACACAGTTAGCAGGTGCAAAGTGACGTAGCGTCTGTTCATGGGAAGCATGGTGCAATCGATGTGTGTGTAATGTAAATAATGGCCTGAGTAAACTGGGTTTAGACTTGTGTTAGATTTTTTTTAATTAAAGAGTGCCCACGGAAGATTTTTTAGGCATCATTTTTTTAATTTACCTTTCTATGGCTGCATAATTAATACGGAAAAAATATTGATACCAAACCAGAAAAAGCTTTGGATATGGATATGTTTACAGTAAAGATCCTGTAACACAATTTTTTCATGGTTTTATTTCATAAATATGATGCTCAAATTAAGATTTGTCAATATTGTAAGTTCAAATAAGCATAATTTAGAATTTAACATTTTATGTAAATAAAGGCCATTAAAGGGAGGTAATTTGAACTTTATTTTCTATAAATTCTAAGTCAAATTTTCCAATAAGAAATCAATGCATGCAATTTACTGATTAAATATAATGTGCACAAATATTTGCAATAAACATTTTACATATTCTTTGATGTTTAAAAATGGTTTTATTTGCATAATTATATCCATATATATATTTTTGCAAGATATGTAAACACAGTTACAATATCAATCACAAAACATACAGGATCTTTAAGTCACATTGGTATATAGACAGATAGATGATATTTAAATTTAATTTGAGACTGTATTTAGAGACTCCCTGTCATATGCGACCTTTTTCTGAAGATCCCTTGGAAAGTCACATATGACAGTCTCGACTGTATTGTGAAATGCTAGACTGTATTGTGAAATGCTAGCGCTCTAACCTGACCCACCCGGGTCAAGGAAACTACCATTTTATTCTTTATATGGAGAAAAGTTTTGTTCCTTTGACTGTCTAATATATTCATTTTGAGGGCATTTACAGAATAATGAATGAAAATTTCAAAACTAAGAAATGAAAATTTTGCCTGTGTCTCCCTTTAAGTATTTTTTATATACCAAATTTTCATGTGCCAGTGTATACTAAAGTTAACTTGATCACAAAGGTAAATTATCCTTTATGCCTATTTATTATTGATTTTTAATTAACCAGGTTTTCCGAAGGAAAAAACTGGTTATTAGATTGAGGTATGTCGGCGGGCGGATGGGCGGACAGGCGGGCGGGCGTAAACAATTTCTTCTGTGCGCAACTCCTCCTACATTTCTCAACAGATTTTGACCAAACTTTCACAGAAGCTTTGTCATCAAGTGCCCTGGTGCATATTGTCGGGGTTTTGTGATTGGATAATATTTGACCTAATTATGGCACTTTGTTTTTTTTTCCTTTTACAGAATATTTAGTGAGCACTTCTTCTCTGCGCAATTCCTCCTACATTATTCATGATTTACATTGCACATAGTAACATTGTTTGTTGCTTGTATTTGTATTTCAACTACAACATATTTATCTACAATGGTGATAATTGAAAACCTGGTTTCATGGCATTGCCATGTTTCTTGTTGGAGTTAAGATATTAAATAACATATCATTTACATATGAAAGCTGTAGGTTTTAACAAACATCTGATTTCCATACAGTATTATTACTTAATGTACTCAAATTTATAATGAATTTCCATTCTAACTTATTTTTGCATGAAGAAGGAAAAAAAAACTTTGCTGGACTATTTTGTTTGGTCAGCAGTGTGGAACAACATGTGCATTATGCCATAGGCCTATATGATTTTAAACATGCTGTCACCCTTAAAATCTGTCAGTATTTTAAAATCAAATTTTATAGAGGGGAAAATATATAATAGCACCACAGACATAATAATGACAAGTTTCCTTTTATACATGCGACAATTTAATTTCCTAAATTTGTCTTGTTCAGTTTTATATGAAATGATCATGTTTGATTTCACAGGGGAAAGAAGTCATAGAGTATTATATAAATGAGTTAATAAAGGAAGGAGTTACTGATCTACCACGTTGGAGAAGCTTGTTACCGTCCAGCCAGGCCCAGTCAGACCAGCAGTCATCCCAGGATAGTGGTGTGAGGTCAAGGTCAAACAGTGTAGTCAGCAATACTAGTCAAAACAGTCATAGTAGTCAGAGTAGCCTGATATTAGGTGCAACGGCCGCGTCCATAACCACACCTGTTGAAGCAGGTCAGTTCCTTAAATCATTAAGGCTATTTACTATATACCTTTGTATTATAAAAAGTGTTAACAAGTGAAATTTATTTCATTTAGGTTATAATCATAGTTTAAAAGGTTTTTGATAGGATATATGTCTCAATATAAGGATTTATGTGCTAAAATATTTCAAGTGGCTTCATAAGGGTTATTACATAAATAGCATTTTGCTGATATGTGGCTACGTAAGGATTTTCCTGTATGTATTTCACTGTATTTTTTAATGCAAAAACTATAAGTACAATGTACACCGAGAAAAAACTATGTATGTTTTGAGTGCTCTTGAAAATTTTTAACTTTCCACTTCTTAATGATAAATGTTCCATATTTACACAAAACAATCAAATTGTCACCTTAGTGAAGTAACAGGTTAACTCTTATCAGGGGTTAACCCATTACTGCTGTCACCTTGGTGTAATAACGGGTTAACTCCTGGAGTTAGCCCATCACTGCACTGAGGAGACAATTTAACATCCGGCATTTATTCTTATCATGCTATTTCAGAGCCAGTACAGTGTCATGTTTTAGCAGAGACGTCGGGTAAACTTGACGCAGATTATATAGAGAGATTCCTCGGTCACCTGACACCTGTTGAAGAAAGTCAGCTTGTACAACTCAGACAAATTATACAAAAAACTCATAAAGGAAAGGTAGGTCTAAGTTATTTGAAATGTACTTGTTTTGTTTTTTGAGTGTAGAAATATCAAACATTTAAATCTATCATAAAAGAACAACACATTTTAACCCCAAATTTGCTGAATTTGTTTTACGGATTAGCAAAGTTTTAAATTTGGATTAAGTCCTTTGAAAGTTTAAGAGATTTCAATATCAAAATGCAAATGCCAAAATCTAGCTACCAACAGAAGAGTGTGGTCAGACTGGCTTTATACTATTGGCCAAAGCTGGTTACTTTGGGTTCCAGCAGGGTAATGGTTAAATGGGTATATCGTACTTTGAAGTGATAATTGTCAATTTTAAGAAATTCAGTATTGTTATACTTGAGTTAAGCAGCCAGCCATCTGGTCATTCTGTACAGATGGGCTGGTCTGGCTGGTCTTAGACTGGTGGTTTAGGGATTGAGGAATAAAAATTACTTGTTAGACTGGTTCTATATTACTGCTGTAATATATGGTTAAACTTGATACACTTGTATTATAATAGTTCAATGAGTTCATAGTTGTGTTCCATCTGTGAAAGATTGTTGCTAGTACGAAAGGTTTCCTTTCAAATGTATGGAAAGATGTTCACACTCATATTGTTATTTCACTTCGGTCCTTTAGATGAAAAAGATTTTCATTTTTTTTTTTGTTGTTTTTGTTCAGATACCTAAAGATGCACATATACTTCGTTTTCTACGTGCACGAGATTTTAACATGGAGAAAGCACGGGAGATGCTGGCTCATTCCCTGGCTTGGCGTAAACTTCATAATATTGATCATCTTCTACACACATACAAACCTCCAGATGTGTTGGAGAAATATTACACGGGAGGCTGGCATTATTCTGATAAAGGTATGGATTGAAGACATAACTATATCTAATTATATATATGTGTAACTTAAAGCAGCATGCCTTTAGATTCATGCAAAGTTTCATGAAAATTACGATAATGTATTTAAAAGTAAAATATGGTGGAGTGAACATTGATTACACATTTACACATTGCAAATGGCATTTACAATCCAAATTACCAAAAACAGATCAAAATATCCTAAATAGCACTTACTGCATAAGTAAGGCAGTAGAAATATGGTGATAAAGTCATTAATCGCACATAATATGTAAATTATTACTTGAATCTTTACCTTCTTGAAAGGAACATCAGTGGTTTTACTCAGGTACCCGTTCGTGCCTGAAATAATGCAGGGAAGGGCACCTGAGGTCTTCCTCCACCAGTAAAGCTGGAACGTCGCGATATGACCTATACTGTGTTGATGTTACGTAAAACCCACAACAAACAAACAAACAAACCTTCTTAAAATCATAGTTCATTTTTCTCAAGTTTGATTTTCTTGATATATTTTGGCTTATCTGGAATCAGGCAGCTTTAACACAGGTACTAAGGCCTTATATGTTAAACCTTATATGATCATGTCTTTTGCATTATTTTAAGATTTCTCTTGTTATATGAATGCCATTTCATAGTTTTTGTCTTCATTATAGCTTTTGAAGTAGATTTTATTCACATAAGTCAGCTTAAACTGATGTCATACATTCATTTTTTGTCAAGAAAGAAGACTAACAAGCTTAATGAATTGAAGGGTCCTCTTTCACCAAATGGTTAAAGTTGCTGGTTTCATTTTTTCCCCTCACTACTATTGGTTTAAATCCCATCAGGGACTTTGGATTTTTTCATGTGAGGAAGCTATCCGGCTAGCTTAAGGAAGGTCAATTGTTCCTCTCAGGTTCCTGTTCCTACCTAAAATAATGCATAAAGGGGCAATTGTGTTTGTTTTGTTTTTTACCACTAAGCTAGAAAGTCTTCATATGACATTTAAAGTGTTTGTTTAACTTTAATAAAATACCCAACAAATTAATAATCTTAAGTATTTCATCACAATGATGTAACAAGTGTAAGATAATGATTCTGTATGCTATGTGACTATTGAAGTATTCTATTTCTTTTCAACAGATGATCGACCATTATATGTACTCAGACTTGGACTAATGGATGTTAAAGGCTTAATGAAGTCAGTTGGGGAAGAAAATTTGCTCAAACATGTAAGTTCTTGTAGTTTATACAAATTTGATTGGGTTGAAAGCTATATGTGTATGTAAACACTCTCAAATCCGTCCTGCAACCAACCAGTACTAAGCAATTAATGTAAAGTTTCTTGCTCACAAAAACAACAGCTCGCCCCTGCCTGATGGGGTTTGAAGCTGCCAGCAATCTTTTTTTAATTGAAGGTATATTTCATATTTGAAATATCACAATTAGAAGACTTTTATAGAAGGGATTGGTTGATTTTGTTATTGTATTTTGTATACTTATCCTATGCTTAAGTTGTCAAGTATTACCACATGCCATATATCTGTTATTAATGATAAATGATAAATTCTAACATGATTTTAATATAAAAGAATCTGTACTTCAAAAAAAACATATATAGTTATATCTACCTTAGTTTGTCTGCTTGACCAAAGTGTACTCTACCAGCATGTTATATAACAAAGTAAACATGATTATTATCAGGTATTATGGGTAAATGAAGAAGGTTTACAGAGAGCTAGTGAAGCTACAAAACAGAAAGGACATCCTGTCAGGTATACTTTATAATGTGTCATGAATAAGATATGAGTTTAACAAATGTCATATTTCAATGCAGCAAAACCTGTAAAAAAAATCTGCTCATGTAAAATTTAGAAATACCAGTGTGCATCACAGTTTTTTGAAAGGAAAACACTATGATTAATCAAATGGGAAATGTGTTAGCTTCCTTTTAAGGATGACATAACCTATATTGAACTTTGTTTTGTCAGCAATTGTCAGTTATACATGGTATGTGCCATAGATTTTTATGAATAAATGTTTAACATTGGTCATCTTTGATTATCTTCAGTACTCATTTCACTAAATGGGGTTTAAAGGTGAAAAGGAAGAAAAGAAATAATTAGACTATTAATGAAGGTTTCTTTACTTTCAGATTAAAAATTATATTTAGAATTGTGATTCAAATTGAGCAGTGTTAGAAAAAATTTACTAATCTAAAAATGCACAGCATCTTTTAGTGGGTGTAAGATAAGTCTGCATTTTACCCCTGAAATATATTCCATAAAGTTGCTTATTTTTGCCTTTCATTTTTGAACAGATATATAATTTAGTTTGTTTGTTGTATATTTTAGTGCTTGTACCTGTATAGTAGATCTGGAGGGTTTAAGCATGAGACATTTATGGAGACCTGGTATCCGAGCATTGCTCCGTATCATCGAAACCGTTGAGGCTAACTACCCTGAAACAATGGGTCGGTTATTGATTGTTCGAGCACCTCGGGTATTCCCGGTCTTGTGGACACTCATTAGTCCATTTATTGATGAGAATACAAGTAAAAAGTTCATGATATATGGTGGAAATGATTATCAAGGCCCTGGTGGTCTTGTGGACTTCATAGACAAGAAATATATTCCTGATTTTCTTGGCGGAGAATGCTACGTAAGTTTTCTATTTTACTTTGCTTGTTTCAGAATAAGTTGCTTATTTTCTGTTTATTAGATTATGATATGATGTACATTGTTTAATATACTTCAAACAGAAGTAACAGCATTGACTGTTGAACTGAAAATTGTTAGATATCAGATTACTTATGGTTAAGTTGAGGTGTGCAACATTTCTAATATAGTGGTAACTGTGGTACCAAGTCCATATGGTGTGATACCAAGATAAAATCTCGAAATACTTGGATATTTTATAAACTTAACTTATTCAATATTGTTGTTATTTGTTATGTACCATAACTACAAAGTACATCATGCATAATTTCTATGAATTACTCTTGATGAAGCATTGTCTATTACTAAAAATAGTACTAAAAATAATGAATGTTTGACCTTAACAAGAACATTTGATTGACACCTTGCAAATCTGTCTTTTTAATATTTTAAGTAAATTAAATAATTAAACAATCAAGTCAGACCTCTCTGCATTTCTAAAACTGAAAACAGATCAAATAAAATTTGCAAAATGGAGCAATAAACTCTTTGAGTTTAGTAAAAATTAATTCAAATCCTGAGTGTTTTTTACCTGTCATGATTCTAGCAGATGTTATTTTTATTTTTGTTTCATACATTTTTATTCAGATACATTTTGATATATATGTTTTATTACAGTGTGATGTACCGGAGGGTGCTCTAGTACCTAAATCTCTATATAAAGAAGAATATATGGACAGATCTCCTGATGAACAACCTCTAAATGTCGCCAACAGTCTTTATCAGACAGCCCATATTATAAAAGATTATCCTCATGAGGTAAGTCACCAGTTAATGTAATGGGTTTTCATCATTCTGTATAAATCATAGCTTTGTCATCACTGTCATCATGATATAGAGGATGATTGTTTAGTTCAGTGTAAGATCCGAATATATTTCACCGAGTGAGCACCAAAAGGTATATTTCACGAGTGGCGCAGCCACGAGTGAAATATGAACTTTTGGTGTTCACAAGGTGAAATATATTTCAATCTTACACTAAACTAAACAAATTTTCTTTTTATTACATGCAAAGAAACGTTTTAAAAAGACATTTAACCTAATACAAAATGAAAAGTGTGCAAATAATAATACAACGTGACGTTATTTGCAACGTCACATCATTAAGTTGGTACCCAGTACTGTGCACACTGGTATTTCAATGAAACAACGTAAGGGGCTTAAATTCAAAACAGTGAAATTATCAAAGTGGTAATTTCACTGTTTCAAACAGTGAAATTGCCAGTTTTTTTATCACTGATATATTTCTATAAACCACCGAAAAGCATGTAATAAACATGTGTATTTGTTATACTGCATGTTTCTAACATCGCTTTTCATTGGCTAGTCGTGACGTTTATATAGTTTTGTAAACACAGCTGCTGTCAATTTAGGAAGAAAACTAATTTTTTGCCTCTAAAAGGAAGTTTGCTGTATTACAAATTTCGTGACAGGTTATATATCCTAGCAGCTATAGTTATATATGGAAAAAAAGTTGATATAGGGCCATATGACCTGTCAAAAATCTTTATAACTAATGATATTAAGAATAAACAGTGTGTGTGGGGTCCTGTGCTTGGCATAATTATCACGATTCTATAAGTTCAGGAAAATACTCTAATGCTCAAGATGTTACGTCTGGTGTACCTCAAGGCTCAGTTTTAGGCCCTCTTCTTTTCATTATTTACATAAATGACATGCCTTTGCACTTATCACATTCCATTTCAAATATGTTTGCTGATAACACTTCCATTACAGTATTTGGACAAGCTATCAATTCAATCAGTATAAATCTTCAGTCTGACCTTGACTATATTCAACAATGGTGTACCAGAAATTCAATGATTCCAAATGCCAAAAAAACCAAAGCAATGATTATTTCCCCTTCACATAATATCTACAATATCATTAATAATTCTAGTGATTTCAACATCACTCTGCAAGATGAAAGCATTCAATTCTCAGAAACAGAAAAACTTTTAGGAGTCCATGTTGATCATACACTTAATTGGAAAACACATCATGTCAAGATGACGCTGAATTAAATGCAATTCCTTACTATATCTACTTCTGAGAATTACACCATTTCTAAATCTTCAAGTTAGGAAAATGCTCTTTAATGCATACAATCTTCCTCATTTAGACTATTGTTGCACTATTTGGGGTAATTGCAGTAAGGAACTCTTAAACGACATGTATAAATTTCAAAAACGTGCAGCAAGAATAATACTTGATAAAGATTTTGATGCGCCTACTGATGAGTTATTTTCTAATTAAACTGGATGAAATTCTCTGATAGAGTGAATTATAAAAAGGCCATTTTAGTATACAAGTCTCTAAACAATCTTCTCCCTGATTATATGCAAAATCTTTTTACAAATACAGAAAATAAATCATTAAGATCATATGAACAAAGACTTCTTTTAGTCTCCAAACCAAGAATTGAATTTTGCAGAAAATCCCTATCATATTCAGGCTCAAAATTTTGGAACTCCCTCCCTTTAAACATAAGAAATTCTTCCAACTTACAAACATTCAAACTAATTATCTTAAATGGTGGTTCTCTGGTGGGCACCAAATAATCTAGCTATGTTTTGTTATCACATATATACATGTATGTCTCATAAAATGTACAATTTCATACTTTCAAATGTTTTTATTCATTTTCTTATTGCATTTTTCAATTACTCTACTTTTCTATGTTGTATAACTTGTATACATTAAGTTTTCTTTTTTTCTTTGTTTATATAAATCTTTGTTTGTAACTGTATATATGTACATTTTTGATAGAGGCTCATAGGGAAGACTGGGCTTGCCTAACTATGTTGCCTCTTTAAATTAAGTCTTTATTATTATTATTATTATTATGTTTTCTCCCGTTGATTATGGATATTTATGTATTGACTAGATGGATGTTGTGTGTTACCTTTTAAACTGTTTGCTTCAGTTTTTATTTGACTGCATGTAGTATTAGGTAGAAAACACTTTTACTGAGATAGTTTATGAATATCTGTCTGTTTGAGAGAAGACCGACTGTATACTTAGACATTTTTATAACATTTAGTTTATAAACAAACCTGTTTTTCTTTCTAATCAATTATTTTTACCTTTACAACCTACTTAAATTTCTTGCTTGTCAAAAACTTAATAAAACCAGTTAACATATATAAGATTTTAAATTAAACATTTATTGTTTTTTATTCCAGGTACTAATTCAAGTTCCGCAACGTGGCTGTGTAGTGACATGGGATTTTGACATATTGAAGGGAGATGTGTCATTTACGGTGTTACGAACAAAGCACACGTTGAGTAAAGAGGAACATCATATTCATCATATCAGTGGTTTACCTGTCAGTACTCAAATCATTGATAAAAACATGCAGGTCGGGCGTGATATGAGTATAGTCGAACCACCTCATATATGTAGGGATGGGGATAGTGTTCAGGTATTTTTATTTTTGAGTATATATGATTTCAATAACTAGGTTGAGTAAATAATGATTTTTGGATGTATCTATCCATCTATAATCATCTGTTTTGCATTTGGAATTGTTTTGTTGTCAAGGTATTAAAATTAGGTAGTCAACAGCATAGTCAGGTAACACAGCTCTCAAGGATTAAATCGAAATTTTGAATATTTATTAAAATTTCAAAGATAACAAAAGTATAAATTTTACATTATCATTATTGTTATATTACAGGGGTCACATGTAGCTAGTGAATCAGGCACCTATATTCTACAATGGAAATATTTTGACTCTACAAAAGCTTCCTTTGAATTCTCCTTGACAACACACAAGTCAAAGGTCATGTATCACACAGAACTTCTACAGTCAGCAACTTTTAGGTAAATTCATCTTACATATTGATTTATCCAATAGCAATTTGTCAACTTAATTGTAAATGCTAACCCTTAAACTACTGAATTTGGTAAAAGGACTTTCCCAGCATCCAGTTTTTGAAAGTGTCTTTAATCAGTTTTGGAATGTTGGGTGAAATGGATTATTTGAAGTTGGTTAAGCAACAGTACAGAGTTTGGACAGAGTGGAAAAATGTACTTGCTGACCTGGCTCTATACTTGTGGCAATTTCTAATCACTTTGGGGTTGAGAGGGATGAGCTTTAAAAGAACATATATATATATATTCAATACAAAATGAATCATTTTTGAAACATATTGACTAGTTATTGGTCAGCTAGTATTAGCCACTAGCTGATAAGCCCCGCCTAAATTCACCTGGCATCACCTCTCTTTAGAATCATTAGTAAATATATTTAGAAACGAAGAACTGTGTTGTTAAATCTCTCTACCCATGCCGCCCAGTAACTATAATATAGCAGACATTACAATTGACTTCCTGTTTTAGAAAAATATATGCAGAAATTGACTTGTGTTGTTATTTCATATATTCATTTATGAAAAAATAAGATATAATAATGTAATGCTTAGATAATGCATATATATATATAGCTTGCCTTTTAGTTTAATTAATATTTAAGTGAATTAAGTTCCTATATGTTATATTAGAAGATATAATGAAAACTGTAAAATTCATGTTTAATGCATTTTGATTCTGCTATAAAAACTGTGTATTTCCAGGAAATTTCCAGGAAAGCCATAAGGTGACTTTAGTCTAGCAAAAGAAAAAAAATAAATTGGTTCTATTTCAGAGGATCCATGGCAAGTCTACAGTCAAGTGCCAGTGGGTTTTCTTCTCTCAGTATTGGGACAAAACAGAGTTTACCGATGGCAAGAAAACATTGATACAAGATTGTATCTTTGTGATATGGGAATGAAACTAACAGTATACAATGCATATCTTAGTCAATTTATATATACGGGGAACATGTTTGTAACTATTTATTGTGGTGTGTACAAGTGAAAAAGTATGTGGATTTATGTCTGACTTTTGTTTGAAGAATGTCGTATTTGGTACATATTTATGATTGTATTTTATTTCATTCTTTTATTAATATATCCTGTGCCAATTATCATCCTGCATGAAGTCCAGGAACGCTCTTGAAAAACTAATGAAATACTGTTAAAAGCTGAATCCATACTCATAAGTGTAAATTTATCTCCATTGCTAAGTTGTTTATCATAAATTCTTTAGCATTGCCATTAATGAAAGTTGGTTTGAACCCAAGACTCCTGTATTCCATGTCCTGATCTGTGTGTAAATATGGCCTGAATATCGAATGACCTAAAATTTATTGCATGTAAATTTGTCAATTTTTTTTTTTTTTTTTAATTAAATGATAAATACAGGCTATACTTGGCACTAATCTTACTCAATAAATAGAGAGCAACTTATCATAGGGTTGTGATGACTCATCAATATACTCAGGTATAAAATATGACATGTCCCTCAATTACATTTTGTATTATACACACAGAGTTGGAGGTCTGATTGAAGACATTTTTGCTGCTCCACTGGTCAAACTTCTGTGGTGCGTATAGTTGCTGGCTTTTCTTTCTTCAATTCTACCATCCCGCTCACTATTTCTCAAATTTACTGATATTTAGCATTCTGTTACCTACTATAGATCTCAATGTTGGATCAATGAGGTCAAGGTAAATAATTTTATTGAGGCTAAAAAAAAGATTTTCCTAATTTTCAACAAACATAAAGTAATGCCATGTCATGAAAATAACTATGTGTCCATGGTAGTTATAAACAATATTCTTGTAGATTAGCTAACCATCAGCCTTACCTTTTGAATAATACAATTTTAAAAAGAAAAGTCTGGTTATTTTCCTAAATGTTCAAACATTAAACAGATTTATATTGAACATGGTTAAGTATTAAGCCTCTATTTAAAATATTATTTCTCTCTAAACAGACTGCTCTTGAAAACGGTTTTACTATAGTTAGAAACTGTTCATGTTCCTCATTTGTATAACTTAATATTTTTTTGAAAAAAAAAACAACAATATGTTCGTAAGATATTAATAGAATTCAACATTATAGAACTCAACATGTATGTCTGTATATATATTTCTTTTTTGAAAATAAGCTTTTTTAGCTAACCTGTCACAAAGTGACAGGGTGAGCTTTTGTGATCGCTTTTCGTCCGTCGTCCGTCCGCAAACTTTTGCTTCAAATGACATCTCCTCATAAACCACTAAGCCAATTTCATCCAAACTTCACAGGAATGTTCCTTTGGTGTTCAAAGAATTTAATTCCATGCAGAACTCTGGTTGCCATGGCAACCGAAAGAAAACTTTAAATAATTTCTTTTAAAGAACCAAAAGAGCTAGAGCTAAGATATTTAGCATGAAACATCTTCTAGTGAGTGTCTACCAAGTTTGTTCAAATAAAAGCCCTGGGGTCAAAATTGGCCCCGCACAAGGGGGGTCATTGATTTTCCCTATATGCATATAGTAAAAACTTAAAAAATTTTCTTTTAAAGAACTGAAAGAGCTAGAGCTTAGATATTTAGCATGAAACATGTTCTAATGGGTGTCTACTAAGTTTGTTCAAATAAAAGCCCTGGGGTCAAATTTGGCCCTGCCCCGGGGGTCATTGATTTTCCTTATATGTGTATAGCAAAAACTTAAAAAACCTCTTTGAAAAAATCCCAAATAGCTAGAGTTTAGATATTAAGCATGAAACATCTTCTAGTGAGTGTCTACAAAGTTTGTTCAAATTAAAGCCCTGGGGTCAAAATTGGCCCCGTCCCAGGGGTCATTGATTTCCTTATATGTGTTTAGCAAAAACTGAAAAAATGTTCTTTGAAAAAACCCAAATAGCTAGAGTTAGATATTAAGCATGAAACATCTTCTAATACGTGTCTACAAAGTTTGTTCAAATAAAAGCCCTTGGGTCAAAACTGGCCCCGCCCCAGGGGTGTCATTGTTTTTAACTATATGTGTATAGTAAAAACTTAAAAAACTTCTTTTAAAAAACCCAATGAGCTAGAGCTTAGATGTTTAGCATGAAACATCTTCTTATTGGTGTCTACCAAGTTTGTTCAAATAAAAGCCCTTGGGTTAAAATTAACTCTGCCGGGTGGGGGAAGAAGGTCATTGTTTTTCCTTATATGTGTATAGCAAAAACTTAACATCATGAAACATCTTCTAATGGGTGACTTAATTCCAAGTTTGTTCAAATAAAAGCCCTGGGGTTTAAACTGGCACCGCTTCGGGGGCCTATATACAGGTGAGCGACCTCAGGGCCATCATGGCCCTCTTGTTTTCTAAGTGGTAATAAATACAAGTTTTTAAAGGTTCTCTTGTTTTGAGATTTTTTTTAAAAAATGTTGAGAAAAAAAGAATACTCAAGTTTGAAAGTATGTTATTTTAGATAGCTAATGAATATTGTATTTTTGAATAATTACTCTATAATGTATATTTATCCAAGAACAATAAGTTAACCAAGACATTGTTTTTATGTAAAAAAAAAATCAGGAAGACTAACCTTGTTACATACCTCATGGCTGGTCGATTATAGCAAATATATTTATTTTGAACATCTCCACATATTGTCAAAACAGTCCATTTTAGATTGCAATTATACATAAGTTACATATATATTCTTCCTGATATTGAAACTTATGTTGCATGAAATTTTTATGCAGTTTCAATTTAGGTTTTGATCAGTTTTAGGCTTTTTTGTCATCTATGGTGGTCTGACCCGTGGTGTTGCTTAAAGTTTATAACCCAATTTTATAAAAAAAATCAGCTTTCCTCTTTTGGCACCATATGACCCCAAATGTGTAGGTTTGCCCTCAAACCAACCAAACAAAATTCATCTGCAAAGAACTATTTTATGTAGACCTTGTAACTCTTTAAGAATACTCTTGGTCATGTGTATTACTACTCATTACTGTTTTGATATGGTTTGCTTGTTTCACTAATTCATAAATTGTACATATATGTAAGAATATTAAAAAACTCATTTTGTTGTAAATGTACATTGTTATATCATAGTTTTTGTAAAAATGCTTATTCAATGAAAGACATTACTTTTCTTGTACAAAGTCATATATGTATGGAACTAGTTTCTTTCATTTTAAGAAAATATCATTGGTTGAATAAATTTTCAATTTATTATTTCAATAATAGATTAAATTTACACTGTATAACCTTCTCTTTAATGTGGGTACCAGATATTTTTACCCAGAATTTAATGTCTTTGTAATTTACAGCTCAGCTTAAAATTATTTGTTGTCAACTTGTCTGTTTGCTTAATTTCTTGATGCGAAAAGTTGGCTATGACTAGAACAGTTTGTATCGTGTCAGGAAACAGGAATACTGACCAGCTTGAAACCCATAGGAATGACTGAAAACTTGCTAATGATATAAATAAATGAAACTAGAAAATATTTCATAATATATTGTACATTTTTTTTTCATATGATGCAAGTATGAAATTCAGTCATCTTAGACAATGTTATAACATTATGTACAGATTTGGTTTAATCTTGTGTAAGCATTTTCTACATATGGGCATATTTTTGTGTAAGTCAGATAAAATTTTGTTGTTAAGGTATCAGGTAATTTATTTTTCTAGGGAAAACATTATATTATCAAAATGGTTTTAATTTCATTTTTTTCATTCACATCGAAATTTTTCATGGCCAGTGACTGTTTGAATTGTTAATAGGTGCCATGTGTATAATATTTTAGCCACGTCACGACATAACCAACATAGTGCATTTGCGACCAGCATGGATCCTGACCAGCCTGTGCATCCGCGCAGTCTGATCGGGATCCATGCTGTTCGCTTTCAGTTTATCTACTTGTAAAAGGGTTTGAAGGCAATCAGCATGGATCCTGATCAGACTGCGCGGATGCGCAGGCTGGTCTGGATCCATCCTGGTTGCAAACGCACTATGTTGGTTTTGTCGTGACACGGCTCATTTTTCCATAATAACATCATCATTTTGCAAGAGATTTTCTCGCAGTTTGCCATTGAACATGTTAAGGTATTTAACAGATGTAATTTCTTCCATTTTTCATTCATATATTCATATTGTTTTGCAAGTAACTTTTCTACAGAAACTATTTTACGTTTCCGAGCTGGAAAATAAGTTTGAGGAAGTAAAGATATGAAAATTCAACTAATTGCTTTAAGGCAATGAACACTAGACAATGTATAGAATTTATCCATTTTGAAAAAGAAGTTTAAAAGGGTCTTCACTGAATGGTGGACCCTTTTTTCAAAGATTTTTAAGGGAACTCTTATGATTCTAGAACTTAATAATAAAATACCAAGTATTTGCCAGGGTGAAATTTTCAAAATTTACATAAACCACTGTCCACTATATAAGACAGATGATTATTCCATAAAACCACAATGTGCATATTACTTTTATTGAAAAGAATATGCAAAGTTCATATTTCATTACAAAATTAAATTTTGATAAAAAAAAACACCTAAAGAAGCCCATTTTAAAGGGTTTTTACTTAAATTTCAGTAAAAGATTAATTTTTGTTTAATTTAGTCCATTTTTTGAAAAAGTTATGAAACAAGGTTAAGGGGAGGGTTTTTAGAATAAATTTATTTTTAATCAAATATCATAAAAAAAAAACCCAATGTTTTTAAAAATAAAAAGGGGAATATCAGGGTATTGAAGTTTTGTAACTGCATAATGGTTTTTGTTGTTTGTAGGTAAATATTTAGTTCAGTGAGGTATAATTGATATCAAATACTTTATCCAATTCCTTGTAAAGAAAATTTGGTACATGTACATGATTCATCAATTGGCCATCATTGTTTAAACTCTATGAACTCTAGCAGGGCTAATTACTAGCAAAGGTCAAGCCAGCTGGTCAGACTGCACTGTCAGCGACTCAATTATAAGATTGAGATATAGAAATCTCTTTTTTTGCTGGATTTTAATGTGATTAGCCTATACCACCAGTATAAAGCCAAACCAGCCTGCACACAATGGTCAGCAGTTTATCCTGGATATATACTGTTGTAAGCTCAATTTTTGCACTTTGTTACTGAAATCCCTCAAAATTTGAATATACTGTTATAAAAGGCTAATTCATTACATAAATTCAGCAGTTTATGAAGGTTGAATTTGCAATAGATTGCTCTAAATCAGAGAATGGGTAAATCTATAAAATAAATCTAGGGCAGTGCAAGGGTTAAATGAATATGAAATAGGAGTATATCTGATTATTAGTTTAGAAATCATCCCAAGAATTGTTTCTTGTTATCCAAGATAAAAAAACTTTTTTTTTAAATTATCATCAAGTTTTAGAAATGCATTACTTTCTTTTGGTGGTGATATTTATTGCTTGAAAATATGTATTATACTATATTAAGATATATATGAGAGGAAATAGAATTGAATCTGGATATAATGTAAGCAAATTGTTTAACCTTTACCTTGCTGTATTTCTTAAATGGATTTGTCCAGATTTCATTTCTGAAACAGTTCATTATCAATTTCGGGGATATCAAGGTGAAAAAAGTTAAAAGCATGGTCAAACCGCACTCATGTACAGGTTGGTCTGGCTCTATACTGGTGGACAAAGGCTTATTCAGTATGGGAAGGGTTAAAGATATATTTTACATGGGAGTATTGAATATTCCATTTCATTGACTTTTTTTATCACCATTTCATCTATTTGTGCATGTATAAAAAAATTCTGTACTATTAAACACATAATTTTAATCTTTAAGGAAATTTATGAGAAGGGTGTGAGTCTTTTTAGTGTTTTTTTTTTAAGAAAAAGAAGCCAAAGTTAAAATTTAGAAATATCTGTCATCATAATTATGTAATGTTCACATTTGTATGTGTGAACAAAAATAAAGTCGTATTTAAGACTAGATGTGCTTTTACTTTTGGTTTTTGTCTCTGTGTTGGGAATCTTTTATAACACTGGAAAATTTGTAACATAAAATACTATTGCATATAGAAGTGTCTGATGAAGTTTATGGATATATCATTTTATGATCAAGGTGTTTTTTTACAGTGAATATATATTTGATATGGAACATACATATACATTGCTATGTGTAAAATATGTAATTTTCTGTTTTGGAGAGTTATTCATCATATTTTGTATACATTTAAGTCAAGAAAAGGCGTGTATGAGTAGTAATACATTATTGTTTTAGAAGTGTTGTAAACACAATTGTAAACACTTTAGTAAACACTTTTGTGAACACTTTAGTAAATACTGTTGTGAACACTTTAGTAAATACTTTTGTGAACACTTTAGTAAACACTTTTGTGAACACATCAGTAAATACTTTAGTAAACACTTTTGTGAACACTTTAGTAAACACTTTTGTGAACACTTTAGTAAATACTTTTATGAACTTTAGTAAACACTTTGTGAACACTTTAGTAAACACTTTTGTGAACACTTTAGTAAATACTTTAGTAAACACTTTTGTGTTTTAGTAAACACTTTTGTGAACACTTAAGTAAACATTGTTGATACTCATGATACATGTACATTCAGCAAAGTCATGTTTTTAACCTTCACCTGCTGGACTTGAAAGTTATCAGCCATTGCCATCCATACAGAACCACACCAATCTGTACAGACAAGGCTGTTTACTGTGTGTATTTTGATATTGAAATCCTTTTAACTTCAGTAGGAATGATTCAAATTCAAAATTTGGCAAATCCATTTGAGCCGGGTCACGACAAAACCAACATAATGGGTTTGCGACCAGCATGGATCTAGACCAGCCTGCGCATCCGCACATTCTGATCAGGATCCATGCTGTTCACTATCAGTTTCTCTAGTTGTTATAGAGTTGGTAAGCGAACAGCATGGATCCTGATCAGACTGCGCGGATGCGCAGGCTGGTCTGGATCCATGCTGGTCGCAAACCCATTATGTTGGGTTTTGTCATGACGCAGCTCATTTCAAGATTTCGGCAGGTTAAGGGTTAAAAATAATGTATTGTTCTTTTACTGCATTTATGATCTTTTAATATTTAACATACTTGTGTGTTAAAAATGTGTTACATGTTAAAAATGTTGATTTTCTTTTTCAAGAAAAAACAACAACACGCATTTACATGTGTGTTTACATGTTAAAAATGTTGATTTTTTTTTTAAGAAAAAAAAAAGAAACACGCATTTACATGTATATTTATTGCTGTGTGGCATATTATGTATATGTGAAATATTTATGTAGAATTGTATGTTTTTATTGATAGATTGTAAATTAGGAGTTTGTGTACAACAAATAGATGTTAGATAACACCAAAAACATATTTGTTACACTGAATATCACTGATTGATGAAATAATGTAGATGTGTACTTTAAAAGTTATAAATCAAAGCAAACTCTGTATAACAGTTGTGTTAGCATATTGAAAAAAGTACAAAATGAATTGATAGAAGTATACAGTAAAAGAAAAATTAACCTTAGAGGATATTTTTATATGAAATAATGTTTATGGTTACCTTGAACCTTAAGTCATGATTAAAGCTTTTGAAGTGAAGTATACATGTATTTCACAAAGTTTTTGTAAAATCTTCTTAACTGATTCAAACATAGTTGTAGTTCTTTTTTTCATATTTTTAACATTTAGCATTCTCTAAGCACATTTGTTATTTATTAGTTGAAGAATTCATAAAGTGCCATGTTTTGCACAGTTGGTTTGTAACAATTCTTTTTGTTACTTTTGACATTGAAGTTTGAAATTGTTTAGATAAAACAAACAATAACATTCTCTATAGTGTATTGTAAGGTTTAATGTCCGAATCGTTGAGGTAGCTGATTTTGAATCCGCTTCTCACTGCAGTGGGTTGAAATAATGCTAGCTAATTTGGATTTTAATATGAGGAAACTAACTATTCACCTAGTATAAGGAATGTTGTTAGTTTAACCAAGTTTAATTTGTAAGATGGACTTGTTCATTTTTCAGTCTGGACAAGTTCATCATTTTTAGTGGAAATCTATAAAATATGTACTGACTGAATAGGGAAAAGTGCTTTTAACTGTAGATGTCATTTCAAACCCAGATTGAATGTTCTTTTTACAAACCTTGGAGGGAGGGCATACATAGATCGCTACATGACCATATCCTGTTGAATCCAAAGTATGAGATAAGTTGATAACAATAAAAATTTCACCACAATTTATTTGTTAACAGAAGAACGCATATCAATCTTTGTGGTTAAATCTATTGTTATTCAAATTAAAGGTCAAAGTAGGGATCTATCAATTCTTTGTTGAAGTGGTTACAGTTTCCAATTTTGAATCACTTTTCCTACCATTGCAGTGGGTGTGAATCCCTGGAGGGACATTGAATTTTTTTTTTTTAATGGAGCTAACCAGGAATCTTATAGAAATTCCGTGATTCTAACAAGGCTGCTGCCCATGATTCTAACAAGGCTGCTGCCCATACATTAGATAAAGCACAGACAAACTTCTTTCATTTTCCTTTATATAAAAACTTTTAAAAATGTACGAATATCTGTATAAATCACACTCCCAAAGTGTAAAAAAATAGATCATATAGATTATGATACTGATGTTGAATTGTTAAACATTTCATATCATTTGTATTATTTGTTTTCTTTAAAGAAACAAATTCATATAACTTATTTTTATCAAGAATAATGGACAAGTCTGTTATTCATTATCAGTGGTAGAGGGTTTTGATTGGGGTAAAATATACAAGTTGGGTTTATGCTGGACTAATATGTGTCATTATCAATAATTTATACATATATTAGTTTGGCATTGACTAAGATAAAGGGCTGTTTAACCATGCTTAACAACTAATTTGTATGTACATATGAATGCTTTCTGATTAACATCTGTAAATATGTTATCTAAAGATATTGAATTTTTTTGTTTTCTTTTCAAGAATATTTTAGTTTTGAAAAATTTTGACGTTCATATGAATGGATTGATTTTTAACCCAGGAAATATTTTTTTCCTTGCATGCATTTGTAAATTTATCATATGTTTGTACAGAAAATTTTTTTGGGAGTGTTATTTCTAAATTTGTTAAAACGATTTAAATTTCCATACTAAAAAGATGTTATTTCATTTTCCTCATGGATTAACCCTTTTTTAAACACCCCGAAATCGAAAACCTTGTTTAAAATTTTTTGAAAAAAAATTGAGATTTTTCACTACCCTAAAATGAAAAAAGAAAAAATAATTTTCTTTTTTTTTTGCCCGTTTTGGATTAATTTAAAAACCCTCAAATTTATTTTTTCAAATTAAAAGGAAACTAGTAATTGTAGATAAAAAGGGGGAAAACTTATTCCAGATTTTCATCTTTCCCCATCTTTTTCATTTTTCTGAAAATTTGGGCTGTCAATTTTATCCCTGTCCCTCTTTTAAACTGGCCAAATTTAAAGGGAATTTGGGGGGCTGTTGTACTCACCTGGGCATCGCGTTTAACCCTTTTGGGTTTAAATTTTTTTCATTTCAAGTTGGTATCTAAAAACTACTGAAGGAAATAGGGGCATTTCATGGACTTATCCTCCATGATTATCCATCATGATGAACACAGGTCTGATAACTCCGAGATACTTTCACGGAGTAATGCCCCTTTTCTTTCTGTTGAGCAGCGTTTTTGTTTATACTGACATTCACTAGACATAACAGTTGTCACAACAATATTTTAAAACTGAAGCGTTGATTACAGAAACTGATGTTCTAGCTTAACTGTCTTGAAGTAAAATAAAAACTTTAATTAAAGTTTTTGAACATCATTTATTATGGTAATAATTGCTTTTCAGAAACATTGTTATTTTGACATGATTGTATTTTGTAGACATTTACTATCGTGTTAAACCTTTTATTGTTAAGTTTGAAGTTTGATTAATAACTTTGTAGTATTATTTATATTGTTCACTCTGAAGGATCTTCCACCATATGTTTGTACTGGGTATAAACCTACGCTAAATCTCATTTTGTATGAATATTATTATAAATATAATCCCATGTTTTGCATGATAAAGAAATTTAACTACTTAAAACACAAAGCTTGTAACATAGACTCTTTATTCTTTACTTGTGTAACATACAGTGAAGAAATAAAGGACAATGATCTCTTTGAAAAGAGGCTTTAAAAAAGGGAAATATAAATCATTTAGAGATGAGAAGAAAGAAGTGTAGCAACTCTGTAGTCCCATGATGAAGAATGTTGAAAATGTCTGGGGTTGGGAGGGGGTTTAATTGTTTGTGCATAAATATTTTTAGCAGTTAAAAGGTCATCAGTCCATTGACACATTAAAGAACTATAATTTTTATGTTAGATATAAATTCTTAAATATTGTTTCCCTATAATTTTATATAAATGTTACTGACATGGTAAATGTTCTTTTCTAGATTCTAGAAATTGTTGTGAAATGTGTATTTTAAGAGTAAAACACATAGTTTATATAGATTTTGGCAGAGAAATTACACTTTTCACACTTGAAAGTATAGTATTATTTTGACTCTTTTTAGATTAAAGTGTGACCAGTTCCATGGCAATGCCTTCCTAAGTATCATTATTTTAAGTTTCACATTGCTAAGTTTACAGTCCTTATATCTTGGTTAATATTTTTATTAATTCAAAACAAAAACTAGCTCTGAATTTGACTAAAAGTAAAAACAGATACAAACGTATCAAATAAATAACTACAAAATAAATGGAACTTAGTTGTTAGCATTTCAAAATTTGAGACAGGTTTTGTCATGGATTTGATCATTTTATTTCTTTCATGAATATATCAACATGTATAGTCTACAAATACCTTTTTGTACTACTTTTGCTGCCAATCTCTTCTACAAAAAGACACTTAATAAAAACTAATCAAGCCATTTTATCACGTGATCTATGTTACACTTGTTACCAAGAAATAAATTTATTATACCACAGTGTATTTTGTGTTTATTGCATCCATATATTAGTTTGTAGCGGATTTGTGTATGATTCTCCATAAACTTTTCTTAGTTCTGATTTAGTCCATAAAAATTCATTAGGCGAAATATTTTAGAGACATGTGAACATTCTCACATGATAGTTGTAGCTCTATAACAGAAGGGTCAGCTTTTAATACTATCAGTATGGGGAATATGGTCGCTTAACAGGCCAAAGGATTTTAAACAATCTGAATTTTCCTCAAAGAAAATTGATCGAGTCCTCTTTGACAAAGTGGCGTTTAACGACTTCTCATGGAGTAATGGTAAATAATCATATACTTTGAATCATTCCGTTATTGAACTTTTATTCAGCCATTCCTAGGGTCCCTGTCGGAGGCATGCATTTCAAAGGTTTCTACTCGTGAACCATTTGATGGACCATCAGCAAACTTTCACCTTAAATGGTCCTTTATCAATTTTGCTACATAATTTGGTTGGTCCCTTTAGTAGGGAGGGGGGAGCTAGAGCTAAAATGGAAATACCAATAAGTGACTTCTGGTCATTGACTTGATAATGTACCCTCATTTTACTTGGTCTCCAGCACTCAAACATAAAGGTAAGTTCCAACAAATTTGCGGAAATAAAGTTACATGTTCTCGCCCCGACAATACATTTCTGATAATTGTGCACAATAATTATGTTATGTACATATAATTACCGAATACATATTTTATTTTAATATGATTGACATTCGTCATTTAATAAACTTCTCTGTAAACATATATATATTGCACTATTTGATGTAAATCGACTAAATTTAGTTGTTACATAAAAGTTATGTTATCTTATGTTATGTTATTAATGTATATATGGATTTGAGATAGAAAAAAGATAAAAAAATATCTTAAAAATAATGTTAACTTAACAATTACAAGCTAGTCTTCCAACTGGGAATATTTCAATTTTAAGTCAGGCGGTGCTACCAGCCTCCATATCTTGGAAATTGTCATGTACTTTCTATTTATAAATAAGTGTGGAAAATATGAAGACATAAGAATATATAGAATTTCAGATATATCGAACTTTTGCGGTTAACCATACCCATTTTCAAAGTGCTGAAAAATGCAATAATTTGGAATGGTTATGTTCATGCAACTTGTGTTTATTAGTATGTGTATTAATAATAGACATTGGTACACGTAGAAGTTTAGAAAAATCCAACTTTACGATTAAGGTTAACCTCGCACGAACAGACAGACAGACGGTTCAATTACTATATGCCTGGGGTATCATAAAACTAAACTCTTGTGATATTTTGAATTTTTCCTTGTAAAAAAATTTTTCCATGAAATCTATTGTTACAAAACATACCTTTAGATGTCAGTGGGATACTGATTCCCGTTATGGCCATATAAAGTAACATTTCGAAATTTTCCTTGTACATTGTATTCAGCTTTTTTCCGTGAAATCTATTTTTATGTTTTACAGGTGTGGTCATCTATGGTAATATTTTGAAATAATCCTTGTACCAAATTCTTTCCATGAAATATGAGAGTATTTTTAACAAATGGCCTTAACAAATCTTCTAATTTATGGCCGCATATGATTTCATTTTACTATTTTATCTGATGTAACATGATATATCTTATTACCATATATTACGCATCACATGTATTTGTTGTCTGCTCATCCAAAATTTCATATGTTTGACTGTCAGTTTCATTTTTAGCTTAACTATCCATAGATAGGGGGGGGGGGGCTATTTTACTCACCCGGGCATCAGCATAACATTTTGGTTAAGTTTTTGCATGCGATTTGGTATCACCAAACTACAGAAGGAAATGGGTTTAAACTTCATGTACTAATCCTTCTTGATTATCTATCATGATGAACACAGGTCCGATAACTCTTAGTTACCTTTTTACAGAGTAATGCCCCTTTTCTGAGCACTGAGAATAGTCAGACATTTTATGGACATCTGTTGTTTATACTGAGATTCACTGAACACAACAGTGGTGACAACAATATTTTAAAACTGGAATAATCTAATGGAATGCTACTTGTAATAGGAAATGTGGACGGTAACTTGCTCTTTCATGTGCTGTCCATGAACAAGCTCAATCAAACCATTTTCATGTTTCATCTTACTATGTTTACCTATAGGGACACATTGCACTTTATTTACTATATTGAAATGGCTCACTAATGCCAATTTTAAAATCCGTGGTTTATATACCAACATTTTACTATGAGCTATAATGGCATTATTATGCTATTTGTGAAAAAATAAAGCTTCTTCTTCATAAATGAGCCGTGTCACGACAAAACCAACATAATGCGTTTGCGACCAGCATGGATCCAGACCAGCCTGCGCCTCCGCGCAGTCTAATCAGGATCCATGCTGTTCGCTTAAAGTAGAGAAACTGATAGCGAACAGCATGGATCCTGATCAGACTGCGCGGAGGCGCAGGCTGGTCTGAATCCATGCTGGTCGCAAACCCACTGTTGGTTTTGTCGTGACACGGCTCAAATCTTTCAAGAATAACAAAAACAACCATTTTTGTAGCTATTTGTATTAATTGTATATATTTGCATTAAATTCACTCAGTTGTAACATGACATAAATTGAATATGTTTATTTAAGAACCATGAAAGTTTTTATTCATATTTATAGTAAATTTGTTTACAAATATCCGATTTCAGTTGTAATAATCATAAAATAAGACATTTCAAACATTCATTATCAACATTTATCTTCTTTTATACGGCTCATGTTTTGATATCTTATGATGTCAGCAAAATACAAGAATATTACTCTGTAACAAAATTTCATGCTCCTTAAATGTACAACGGACAAGATTCAGAATTTTCCTTTTTTTGCGGCTAGGGGGCTATGAGGTTGCCGATCTCACGGGAATTATGAAAGTTGTAGCCTGCAGCACCACCTGAAAAACAGTAAATAGTTGCTCTGATTATTCTAGCAAGTCTTCTTATTTAAATGTTATATTGTAATTTATTAATTAACTGCAACACTTTAAACGTGAAAAAGTCAGAACAAAATCAAATTTTTCTAAATTTAAAACAGTTCGTTTCTTAACTAATAAAAATACTATTCTAGATAGGCTTAAAATTACATGATAACAAACCATTTATACGATGTGATGCGAAAATCATTTAAATACACGACATCAATAAAACATATATACTTCATAGAACGCTAAATATGACCATAAAGGCATATTGAAATAATTTACCTTCACCTGCTTCTTTTACTTGTTTGTGTTTCTTTCCTGATTTCTACAAACGTGGTAAGAAATTAAGCATTTTTTAACAACAGAAAAATACAACAACACTATTTTTATTTGTACATAAAGGACTCCGGCCCAAATACAGACAACAAAAATGTGTATAAAGTTGTAAAAGGGTCACATACACAAAACATAATAGAGACAATTCCCACAGTTTTATAAAAAAATGTGACGTGCATTTATATGTTTTATAGTAGGAACCGGGTGAAATATGTGTTATTTCACTTGCAATCTTAACTTTTCAAGATTTTGAGAAAAAAAAAAAAAATATTGAAATATATTTGTGATAAAAAAATTCTGTTTGACAGCACAGTCAAGTAGGATAAAGGATACAATTATAACTGAACTCTAAAAATGCATTTTTACGTGTTAAGACTTTTCAGAATGATAATGAACCTCATTATAAAACTTCTTTAGTTTTGATATGAAAAAATTAAAAAAATATATATAATAAACTGACTTCTTTACTTGCCAATAGATATATATTATGTATATTGTCACACTTTTTTTACAACAATAACGTGGTCGTACGGGGGAATTCTTAAACAATCGTCTTTTCCATGCCTTCTAATAGGCAAATTGGCCATTTGCTTTAACTGTTAAAAGCTATTTTATATGATTTTCTATTTTTTTCTTAAACTAACTCGGAATTGTCTACGAACTTCTACTACATTTCTATGTAGGACGATGTTCTTTTTGCCCTACGCAGATTGCGCATGCGCGAGAAAATACCACTTCCGGTCAATTTTTCATAGCAACGGACCGCGTCGTAAAAAGGTCTATAGATATATAGTAAATTCGTCAATTGACCTTAATCGATAAACTATCGATTACATTTAGCTCCTGTCTAGTACTGATCCAGATGTGTTATGTTATACATAAAAGAGAATACTATTAGCATAAACTTGTACTGTACACAGTTTTGTTTGTGTGTGTACGCGAGCGTGCGTGCGTGTGTGCGTGTATGTGTGTGTTGTGTGTATGTGTGTGCGCACATGTGTGTGTATGTGTGTGTGAGAGTTTATTTATACACGGCTTCTCATATGGGCGCGTCCAGACATTTTAGATTTTTGAGGATAGTGCAAGATACAGAAAGATACCCAAATTCCAGAAGCTTCTGCTGCTTCTTTAGCGCGTCAAGTGTTTAAACACGGGGTTTAATTAAGTCTCACCCGAAAGAATGTTTAGTAACTTTATTTGGCCAGCCTAGGAATCAGACGCACAATGTCTCGCGCTCTAATTTTAATCATTTTTCGGAAAGAAAGTACGAACACTGATATTTTCATATGAGATTTTTTTCTTATAGAAGCGTATGAATTTACAACTTCATTCTTAAAAGCAAAATGACGTCATTCTAAGAACGCAATTCATTCATAAAAGGCGCGCGGAATGACGGATTAATTTACGGTGACCTTTACTTACAGGGGGTGTTGTTCCAGCACTGGTGTAAACGGTGTATAATGCCTGTCTGATCAATATGCAAGAAGTACAACATCGTTAACAATTTTAATTTACGTGTAATGCAAATACATATCATTCTACATATCAGGTATTATGATCATATGTTATTCTTCATATTATAGGCTAGATTTTCTAAATTAATTTAGATATCTATTTCCTTTTTGCTATAAAACATTTTTTCTTTCATTCCTACCTTTTGTGGCTCATATTCCACTCTTTTTTGTTTCCTCAACAGCGGACTTTTTTACCATCCTAAAATATAAAACAGTTAAGATATTGATATTTGAAATAAATATATCTAAAGAGACATTATGCCATAATTATGGTTGTCGAGTTCAGCTTTAAAGAAGCCACTAGGAATTTGGGAAAAAAAAGATTTTTTAAAGGCTGCCTTACGAACGCTGGATTTTTAACCTATCCTTGGGCTGGTGACTGTCATTGCTTTTACACATTGCATTACAGTTATTACTCGAAGGTACTCAAATGTTTTGCATGTAGAATACTGTAAAAACGAAGTAAAAATTAGAGACGATGCATGGTGATATGTCAACTGAAAGAATTAAACTGAAATAAGTGTTTTTTTTTTCTTTTTAATACGACGTCGTTAGAAACTCAAGTTATTTATCAATTTTAGCTTTGAGTTGCTTTCAACAGCCCTGACACTGTCGGAATTGTAAATACAAATATAATTGAAGTACCACGAGGGGAAATCTTTAACAAGTAGTCTCTTCATATAAAAGTGTGAAATTATGTTTTAATAAATTTCACTGTGAAATCATCAAATGTAATTTGCACGAATGTTATGATATCAAGATCAGATATCTCTGTGCATGTTTAGTTGTACAGTTAATAGGATTACTTCCCTTTACTTGATATTCATTAGTGCTATGTTATATATATATATATATATATATAATATATATATATATATATAATATATATATATATATATATATATATATATATATATATATATATATATATATATATATATATTATATATATATATATATATATATGATCATGCCTCTCTGATACCTGGTCATTCTCACTTGAGCTCTGGTCTTAACAACATGTATTAAATGATTATAATAAATTGTAGAATAGTTTGAATCTTGTTATCATCCATACAACATAACAACGAATAAATGAGTTTTCCACTCAAAAGCAAACAATCAACATGCATATTTAAAAAGACAGAATAATGTCATTTCAAAAAAAATATTTTTATTGTACTTAAAGTATTTTTAAGTAAATGTCAATACTGACGCCAGCACCCTTAAATTCTATAACTCAAATATTAAAACAAATAATACACCCACTTGATTTCAGGTCTTAAATCTTTTGACCTGGAATTTGTATTTTTAGAATGAAAGGGTAATATAACTGGAAGGCTCGCATTTTATTTGACCAGTCAATCTTCCTTGAGGCAGACTTTTCCCCTGGTATAAACATTTTCAGGTTACTTTAAACAAAGAAAACTAATTAGGGATTAATATTACAAAAGTTTATTTTACCTTATATACAATTCTTTTTGCCTCCATTACAACTTTGTCCTGCAAAATTCAACAATATAGAGATGATTGAGTATTATGAAATAATTAACAACCTTTAAAATACTGGAACAAAAAGTGATCCGTCTTTGTCACCAGTATTGAATCAGGCCAGTCTTCAAATATGTTTTGTCTATCCAGACTCTATACTGTTGTTAGGTGATTTTTTGTATTTTGCAATTGAAATCTCTTAGAATGTGAATGGACTGCTCCGAAATCAAAATGCAGGGAAAATCCATTCCACTAAGTCAAAATATTACGAGTTAAACTATAATTGTAAACAATACATATATGCATATGCTTACTTATTTTACTTTCCCTTCCCTTAACTTTCCTTTACTTTACTTGTCCTTTACTTTACTTCACTTTTCTTTACCTTCCCTTCCCTCCCCATCCCTTCTCTTTATTTACCTTTAATTTACTTTAACTTCCTTTTCTTTCCCTACCCTTTCCATACATTATCTAACTATACCTTACTTTACTTTCCCTTTTCTTACCGTACCTTTACTTAATCTTTTCCGTCTTAACTTTTCGTACCTTCATCTTACCTTCCCTTATTTTACTTCCCCCCTCCCTTACCTTTACTAAACCTTACCTTAACTTGCCTTTACTTTACCTTACTTTCCATTTTCTTTCCTTACCTTAATTCTATTTTAATTTACCTTCCTCCTTAACTTACCTTTACTTTACCTAACCTTATCTTACCTAACTTTCCATTAATTTCCCTTCCCTTCCCTTACCATAACTTACCTTTACATTCCCTTTCCTCTCCTTCCCTTTGCTTTACCTTACTTTACTGTCCCTTCCAATACAGTTACTTTACCATACTTAACTTTACTTTCCCTTACCTCATCTTTACTTGGCTTGACTGTATCTTAGTTTTTATTCAAGTTTACTTTACTTTACTTCACTAACATATTGCTCTAAAATACTGAACAAAAAATAAATTTCTTATGTGATAAAATGGAGATGTAGCGTTCACTCGTTTTGCAGAGGAAACCAACTGACCGCGATTTTCACGTGCATACACGGACCAGTAGCTTCGTGTATATTTTGTGAAACTTTTCATTATAATCTTTTAGACTTTCAAGACGAAAAGAAAAAAAAACGTTGAAATTTTTTTTTATATATATTTGATATGCCTAGAAGTCCTCAAAAATTACGCGAACGTGCGAATGGCATGCTTAAAGGCACTCCACTGAGGTTTAAAAGCCTAAAAACATAACATTTAAATTTCTTACCTAAATGAGCTGGGACACTTTAAATAGAAAATATGTGCAAGATAGTTAAGAAATATAATTTGAAACGAATTGAAAATAGTAGGGGAGACTGGGGTACTCTGGGACAAGGGGCACTGTGGGACTATAGGATTTTATACCTTTTGTTCTTTGATTTCAACCTGATTCATGCAGATGATTGATCTTGTCAAGCTTCTTTCCCTACAAAAGTTTCATGGCGGCAAATTGAGTAAAAATCAGTTTGGCGAGTACAATGTACTTTTTACCTTTCAAAGTGAAATTCTAGGAAAGACGAATATTGTTTTCAAATTCTTTCATATTGAATACTTATTTGTATCATATTAGTAAATGATAATGTGCTAAACATTGACTATATTTTCTGATTTGAAATAAATCTTAGTTTGGTTGTCTTTTTAAATTATTGTCACATAAAAATGGTGGGGGAAGTTGGGATACTCTGACTCGTCAACTTTAAAAAGAAAAAAGAGGCATTGTTAGTGTCATGACGACATTGCCGTTCCTGTTGCCATCCGCAAACTTTAACCTTGATTGTAACTTTTTAAGTTCTTGGTGTATTGGTTTCATACGTGGCCCTTCCATACATATATCCCTTTAAAAGACGTTCAAGTAGACCTGACTTACCTTGACCTTCATTCATAAATAATCTTAACCTTCAAGATCAAATGTTTATTTTTTTGCTGATTTTTGCTAATGGTGACTATAATTTTGTAATTTGAATGGACTGTCGTCAAACTTCAAACATAAAACTTTTAGGATAGACCTTCAAGTTCAGGAGACAAACCTTGACCTTCACTTATCAATGACCTTGACCTTGAAGGTCAAATTATTTAAAACTGCTGTAAGTGGCTATAACTTTGTTTTTCATGAATGGATTGACTTCATATTAAGACACAACATTCTTTTGAAGTGGACCTTCATGTTTATCAAACTCAAATTGACCTTTGCTCTTTAATGACCTTGACCTTGACAGTTAAATTATTGCACTTTCATTGATTTTTTGCTATATTTGATTGTGACTTGGTAATTAATAAATTAATTATCTTCATGTTTTGGCAAAACAAAATTTTGGACAAGAACTTCTAAAAGGTTGAACTAACCTTGACATTTAAATGACCTTGACCGTCATGGCCAAATTATTGAAATTTGATTGTCATATTTTTTTTATTATGAAAGAATTTGATTCATATGTGGACTTAACAACTCTTGTGATCTAACAGACATGTGGAATAATTTAGATATGTTCTTGACCTTTAAATGACAATGAACGTCAAATGAATGAATTTAGATAATATTTTCCTAACTTTGTCATTGAGTTATGGAAATTGTTCATTGTCAAAACGATTGTGACTATAAGCACCTATCAAAATTAAAAAAAAAAGAGAATTCCTAAAGAAAGCCCAACACGGCAAAATTGAAAATGTTGCAGGGTCAGTTTAATTGAGCTTGTTCATTAACAGTAATGAAAAGTGCAATTTACCTCCCCCTCCACTGCCCACCGGCTTAAGCAGAATTCCACAAATAACATGCACTGGAAAAAAATAGATTTTTGAAACAACCGCATATTCTTATTTCCAGTAATTTTTAGTTTCAATGAAATTATACATGTTGTCCTACGTACCCGAGCATGTCCCACATATGGTGTCCCAGAGTGCCCCTAGCTCGGGGCACACTGGGACATTTTAATGACCGTATTCTAATGCATATCTCCAAGTCAACTTAATTGTTTTAGGTTCATTTAGTTATCTGTTACATCCAGTACATATTGTCCTTTTCATCCACGAAAGAGAGCATCATTCCTTAAGATATGTTAAGAATATATATTCTGGAAAACGAAGTGCGCGAATGATCTGAAATTTTGCACAAAGATTAGTGGTCTTAACCTACATCAAATGTTAAATTTATCTGGAAAAATATTTTTCAGTCCCATCATGTCGAAAAACCTCAGTGGAGTCCCTTAAATGCTGCTGACGATGAATGCCGTCGCTATGAAAATTGGATGTTCTACCCGTGCTTTTCGACAGGTCGTACAGACGATCGACCACGTAGTGAACGTCAGGGCGTCATGACACGTGCCCGAGACTGCTATATTAGGATCACACACCTGCGCAATCGCTTCCAAACTGCGATAACTACTGCTGCTGACACCTCTGGTAATGATATCAACCGTATATCTACCCAAACTGTGCGCAATCATTTGTGTTTTGAGGCGACGTCGCCGCGTCAATTGTGTTAACTGGGCACGATCGCACCAACTGGGCACGAACGCACCAACGCTGGCTTAGACAACAATGGAACAGCGTTTTTTTCTCTGGCGAGTCGAGGTTTTCCATTCAGTATACCAAAGAAAAATGAGCGTTATGCCGACTGCTGACTACTTGAACGAAATTGTTTTTGTGTCTAATGGTTCTGTCGTTGTAAATTGATTCAACCTGGAGCTACGTGCCTTATGTGTATACGAAGTACACTAGAACACAGACGCTTGGGGTCATCATCAAGTCTCAATAAAGGACTTTATTGAGACTTGATGGTATACGGTATTTTTTCATATATGTAAAGATTGTTTGAAAACCAGTTTTATCGTTGTAATGGATGTCCCATTCGTGTTTAAATATTACAATAGTTTTGATAGAGTGTTTACAGGGGCGTATCACGTTGGGGCAGAATCTGACCCCTAAGCGTCTGTGGTTATGTGCACAGGTGCTTGAAACAAACTTTTTAAAGTTATATATGGGCTATATACTATAATAAGATAATATACATATATAGAACGGTAATGTAAAATATTTGATTATGTGACAAGCGCCTGTGGTTATGTGTAAAGTTGATTTACTAAAATAAATTATTTAAAAATTTGAAACATTCTCCCATCTCATTGGACAAAAAATAATCTCAAACACTAAAATTTAATAACATACCTTAGGTTTCCTTTCAGACATTGTGATAACAACTCTAGCCAAAGCCACGATATGATTAACCTAGATGTTTAATAAAAATGAATAAGAGCTTAAATCAGTTTAAAAATATCTAATGCACAATAATACATTTACAAAATGTTAACCGACATTTAAAAATATTGCATTTCTTTATTTTAGATGATATCCTATAATTTAGCTAGCAATAATCTCAAATATAGTATGAAATTGCATAAATTGTACTTTAATAACATACACAATTGGACATACAATTCATGGAAATACTTGAATCATGAAGAAAAAATATCAAACAATACTAAAATGGAAATAGTATATTTGGAAAAAAGCAACTCAAACCTTTCAAAATATCCTTGCGAAATGGAACGGTGAGTCCCTCCTTTTCTTTTATCCCCTTGTGGTTTCGTTACACCTCCTGCCATTGGCCAGTTTGTTATTTCAATTTCAATGATATTTTGTTTCATATGAAAGTACAATCACCTGAAAGTACAATCACCTGTTGCTATAAATAGATTTACATTTAATATCATCTTGGGTAGTACCTGCATCTTTAACGTTTATAGATGAAAGGCACTTGGCATGTGCATATTTAGACAAAATCATGAGAATACTGTTTACAATCAATTTCGTATTGTTTTATATACAAATAAGAATGACAAAACTATCATACGTATGCTGACATTATATTATTATATATTTTATGTGAAATATCTCGTATAAACGTTCAAATAATGATTTTTGGCCTACTTGAATTAATTACACCGGAAAAATATTGTAAAATGATGTTAAAATTGTCTTTAATATGAATTGGTGTAAATGTTCTTGAATGACTACGCACAAACAGACGTTTAACTAAAATTTAACTTACCGGCTAAGGCGCGTGTATTTTTTATGTTGTTTTCCCATTCTCCTTTACCTAAACCTATACCCGTTTTCTGTAATAAATTGCCATTTTAAACTGAAAAAAATATTAAATGAATTTCCAAATTTGATAATGAGATAAAATGTAAGACCAAAATTATTTATAAAAGAGATATGTATAACTTTTGTTTAAATTATCTGCTCTTAAATTAAGAATTTCAAATTCAATGGTAAATAAATAAAATACCAGATAGGTAACTCCATTTTTGCTTTTTTCTTGATCACGTAAATTCTTTAGCAAAGTTTATTCTGTCTATCTGTAACTGTAGCATACGCTTTTATTTTTTAAAGTTTTTTTGGCACGACGGAACTACAGATAATTTTTCGAGATAAATGTTAAATCTAGACCAAAAACTTGTGAACAAAATTTCTAATATTTCTCTTACTCCTTTTTTTAGAGTTATCATTTTAATTAAGCGTTGCAATATGCCTTTCAGTGAAATCGAACTAAGAATAACACAAAATATGAGTCAATGAGGTCAATATTCTTAGTACATTTCTTAATTATCTTTTGAATATCTTTTTGTTTTAAGTGCCCCAGCTGATCTATGTAAAAACTCTTGTGAAAAATTTTGTGCTTTGGATTGTTTATAGGTGATGTAGTGAAAATGACTTTGATAATCAGTTTGGTCACACTTATTGCTTATTTTTTTTATATCGAGACATTAAAATACATTTTAACGTAAGATGTGGAGAGAAATATTCGCCAAAAGTATATGATGAAATGTCATTGATTTCTATGGTGGCTGATGTGTGCCGTTCGTGCTTTCGCCCCGCGACCCCGCAAAGCATAAAGTAGAGAATAAACAAATTAAAATGGCGGGGGCGCGGGCGAAAACGCGCTAATTAGCGGAAGCGAGAGACGAAATTTATTAAATAAGACTTCGCCCCGCAGATTCGCGGGGCAAAATTTAAGAAAAAAGCGACGGGGGCGCGGAGCGTAAAGACACTAATTAGCGAGGGCACGGGTAGAAGTTTAATAAATAACAAATTAGATAGTAAAGGTATTCATGGTAATATGTTACAGGCAATACAGTCACTATATAACCCAGTTTCATCTTGTGTAAGGATAAATAGCCTTACAACAGAATGGTTCGATGTAAAATGTGGGCTCCGACAGGGTGTTTGTTATCTCCTTTACTGTTTAATTTGTTTGTAGATGATCTTGTTGTAAAAATTAAAGCTATTGGTAAAGGAATTGATATAGATCATGATAAGGTTTGTATTTTATTACATGCTGATGATATTGTACTTGTAGCTGAAACTGAAAACGATCTTCAACTTTTGTCAAATTGGTGTACATCAAATGCTATGATAGTAAATCATGATAAGAGCAACATTATTCACTTCAGGTCGCAGGCCAGCAGATCCTCATTTGTTTTCACACGTGGCGAGCATAGTCAAAAAATTGTTGGACAATTTGTCTGTTACTTGATGAGTTTCTTGATTATAATAAGACCGCTAAATGTATAGCTCAAAGTGCAGGTAGAGCACTGGGGTTACTTATTGCCAACTCAAAAGCATTAGGGTCCATGCCATATGATGGTTTTGTTAAATTGTATGATTCATTGGTTTGGCCAGTCATTTCATATGGTGCTTCTATTTTGGGTAATAAGTCATTTTCCTGCATTGATGCGGTACAGAACAGGGCAATGCGTTTTTATCTGGAGGTAGGGCGGTATACATCTACAGCAGCTATGGAGAATTATCATGGCAGCCTACACATGTGATACAATGGAGATCTGTAAGTCAACAATGGAATAGATTTGTCAGAATGGATGTAAACAGAGTTAATTATGAGATTTTTTCTACTTGTTTGCGCAAGAGCAGCAATAGGTGGAAAAACTGGCAATTTATATTTAATAATCATATGGGAAAGTTAAATTTAGAAGAGCATGCACGTGATTGTGTAACAGTCTCATCTAAGTCTTTTTGTGAAAAAGTTGTTCAAAAATGTATGTCATTATATAAAGATGAATGAATAGCTAAGCTTAATAGGAATGTTAGTCTAAATGGGAATGGTACGGTGGCATAAAAGTGACATTTGCAAATTTATTTTTTGTTTAGTTTTTGATACTTTTTGTTTTTGTTTTTCGCCAAGGCTCGTTACCGATAGAACCGATCACACTCGGGTTGGGATTTCCCTATCCTCTATCTAACCCAATGATAGATTCTATTATTCTCAAACTCAATACATAATATTATTTTTAGTAGGCATTGAGATATTACTGATAAAAAAAATGTTAAATACAATGCCAAACTGTGTAAAAAATTCTGGAAACAAAGTGATCCCTCGGAAGCATTAATCACAACAAAATAACATAAGAATTGCAGACTCGGTTTGATTGAGTCTGTACATGAGGGATAATGATTAAGTGCAACATCCCTCACGGGCCCTAGCACCGGCTTGAGCGGTACTCAATTCTCAACACTTTACAGTGTTGGCATCAATGATCCCGAAGGACCAGAAAATATAACAACACTGAAGTGAAGTACGGGGCAACTTTTTACGGCTGCCACACGGCACTTGACACCTGCTGTTGTGAAGTACAAAATTCTGGAAACAAAGTGATCCCTCGGAAGCATGAATCACAAGAAAATAACATAAGAATTGCAGACTCGGTTTGATTGAGTCTGTACATGAGGGATAATGATTAAGTGCAACATCCCTCACGCCCCCTAGCACCGGCTAATGAACAGATTTTCTCTTTAAGATAGCGAAGTATATACTCTGCAAAATTCTAATGAACAGTGTTTCTCTTTAAGTTAGCAAAGTACACTCTATGCAGACGACACTATTCTGTTATCGAACACTGCAGACAATCTCCAAATGTGCTTGAACAATTTTAATGATTACTGTAAAAACTGGCATTTAAAGGTGAACATAAACAAAACAAAAATAGTAATTTTTGGTGCTCGACAAATTGGGAATTTTAGATTTTACCTAGGAGATGAAAATATTGAGATATCCGACTCTTACCATTACTTAGGTGTGACATTCTCTAGCAATGGTTCGTTTCTTAAAGCTAGAAAACACGTAGTCCAACAAGCAACTAAGGCAATGTATTTACTATTTACTAAATCAAATAACTCAGACTTACCGCTAAATCTTATTATTTAAACTATTTAACCACACTGTTTTACCTATTTTGACATATGGATCGGAAATATCCAATATCTATCATAATTAAAACTAGGATGATCTCATTTTAGAATCGTCTCATTAAGGGGAAAGAAAACAAAATATCGTTTCAACTTTACAAATACATGACCAGTTTTCCTAATCATAAGTTTAAATGGATCTCTTAAGATAAAAGACATTCTGAATTCTGTTGGCCGCCCTGATCTTTGGCACAACCAGACCCAAATAAATACTTGCATATAGATAAACTTATAAAACAAACACTAATAGATCAATATAAACAGTCTTGGTACGAGTAGCTTCAACAGTCAAATAAAGGGTTAAATTATAAAAGTTTTAAAGAAGATCATAGTTATGAAGAATATTTTTAAATTTTAGAGCAATCAGATTATATTTCTTTATTCAAATTTAGAACATCAAATCATAAACTTCCAGTAGAAATTGGGAGAAACGATGGTACTCCTTATAATGAAAGACTTTGCACATTGTGCAGCGACAATCAAATTGGCACCGAGCAGCATAACTTGTTACATTGAAATCACTATTAGGGTCAAATAACATACATGTGAGCCTCGTGAAATTCATTAATTCTATTACAAAAACTTTTCAGTAATCCCAATGCCTCCATCAGTAATTCAAGATTTCATCTAATATTTTTCACTTGTTAACTTGTTTGTTTCCTTTAAATAGCGTGTTTATTGTTTTTTTCAAAAAAGTGATGAATACAGTAACAGATTGTATGATACTAATGAAATGTTTTTCTCTATTAATTGACTAAGTATGCATTTTGCCAAATTCAATGAAGTGCATATTGAGTAAACATTGAAGTATTTTTGGTACAAGTAAAAAATAAAATAATTAAATGCAATAATAAACTGTATATATGTAAGACCATTGAACAATGCCAAAGTCAATGAAATACTTCTTCAATAAGCATTAAATATTTGGTACAATAGCAAACTTTATAAGATTTAGGAAGAATGCTTCTCTTTAAGTTAGCCAAGTATTTATTCTGCCAAACTAAAAAAAACACTTTCTCAAACTTGATGAAATACATCTTCTGTAAGCATTACATTGATTTTGGTTCAATAGCAAACTGTATAGATTATAAATTAATTAAATAAATTACAATAAAGTCTGAAAGTAATTGCAATTAAATCAATTACTGATCAATGTAATCATCCCCAGGTCTGACACCTATTCTGACAAATTCTATCTTAAAAGTTAGCCTAGTACACATATTCTGACAAACTCTATCTTTAAGTTAGCAATGTACACATATTCTGACAAATTCAATTAAGTAAATCTTCAGTAATCATTAATATATTTCTGGTACGGAAATGATAAATACAAAAACAAACTGTGTAAGACTAAAATAAATGAACAGTATTTCTCTTTAAGTTAGCAAAGTA